CAACACAAACCCTCAAATCATGGAGAGCCTGGAGTGAGGTATTTCAAGTCCTAAAGAAAACAACTCCAATGTGAAATAGAAGAAAATAGCTAAAGGGGGGTGGGGTGGGAAAGGAAATAAAGGAAAAGAAAAATGTGAAAAAATGGAAACAAAGTCTTTGTAAATAGGGAATGGAGAAAGGGCAGGGGTATGGGGAAAAAACAAGAACCAAGAAACATCATGTAAAGGTACAAGATCCCATTGATAAATGTAACTGTATTGTTTGCTTTAAATGTACCAATAAACAATGTAGAGAAAAAAAGAAAACAATCTCCAATTTAGACTTATGTATCCTACAAAACTATCTTTCAAAATTGATGGGGAAATAAGATACTTCCACGACAAAGAACACCTGAGAAATTTCATGAACACTAAACAAGCACTCCAAACACTTCTAAACAATATCCTGGAAAAAGAAAATGAAGGCCACAACTCCCTAAGGGCCAACAGGGCAAATATACCAGGCAAGAGAAGAAATTAAAGGGTAAGAGGGAAAAATAAAAGATAAAAGAACCAACAACAGGAAAATAATATGACAATGAAAAGTCAATACATAAGAGTTAAACATCAGTGCTAATGGCCTCAATTCATCAATCAAAAGAAATAGGCTGCAGAATGGATGAAGAAGCAAAATCCAACAATATGCTGTATACAAGAAACACACTTAATCCACAAAGGAATTCAGACTGAGAGTAAAAGGTTGGAAAACAGTTCTCCATGTGACAGAAACCCAGAAAAAAGCAGGGGTAGCTATTTTATTTGCAGACAAAGTAAATTCCAAACCAAAACTAATTAAGGCAGACAAAGGGGGGGACAAGGGAGGGGAGGGTGAAGGGAGGGCAGGGACAAGGGGCAAAAATGAGAACCAAGACCTGGCATGTAAAGGTACAAGATCCCAGTGATGAATTTAACTCTACTGTCTACCTAGAATAAATTCAATTAAAAAAAAAAGAGAGACAAAGAAGGTCACTATATCCTTGTAAGGGAAACAATCCAAGAGGAAGAGATGATAATCATAAATATATATGCACCAAATATTAATGCCCCCAACTATACAAAACAAATATTAAGGGACATGGAAACCCAAATAAACATTAAAACAATTATAGTGGGGGACCTCAATACCCCACTGTAACAAATAGACAGATCATCTAGACAAAAAATCAATGATGAAATACTAGAACTGAACCAAGCTTTTGAACAAATGGACCTAACAAATGGCTACAGAGTGTTCCACCCCACAGAACCAGAATATATATTCTTTTTGGCTGCACATGGGTCATTCTTCAAAATAGACCACATGTTAGCTCATTGAACATGCTTAAGTAAATGCAAAGGAATTGAAATCACCCCCTGTATGTTATCAGACCATAGTGCATTTAAACAAGATCAATAGCACAAGAAACCTCAAGAATTTCACAAACACATGGAAATCAAATAATACCCTGCTACACAACCATTGGGTCACAGAGGAAATTAAAGAAGAAATTAGACAGTTTCTACAATTAAATGATACTGCCAGTACAGCATACAGGAATCTATGGGACAAAATGAAAGCAATTCTACGAGGGAAATTCATAGCAGTAAAGGCTCATACTAGTAAAGCGGAGATAGCTCAAATAAAGAATCTAATGCTTAACATTAAGCTCCTAAAAAAGAAGAGCAAGACAAACTGATAGCTTGTACAAGGGAGGAAATTATAAAGATTAGAGCAGGAATTAATGCAACGGAGACTAAGAGAATGATACAAAAATCAACTAATTGAAGAATTGGTTCTTTGAAAGGATAAATAAAGTTAATAACCCTTATCCATCCTTATGAAAAAAAGGAAAGGAAAGGCTTAAATTCATGCAATTAGAAATGAAACAGAATACAGAAGATCATCAAGAAGATCATACACACTGACCAAGTCAGATTTATCCCATAGATGCAAGGATGGTTCAACATATGTAATCAATATATGCAATACACTATATTAACAGAACAAGGACAAAAACCATATGATCATCTCAATAGATGCAGAAAAAGCATTCGACAAAATTCAACACCCATTCATGATAAAAGCTATACAGAAAATTGGAATAGATGGTCTTTATCTCAACCTGATAAAAGCTATCTATGAAAAACCAATAGCCAGTATGATACTAAATGGTCAAAAACTGAAAACCTTCACACTAAAATCAGGAACAAGACAAGAATGTCCACAATCACCACTCCTGTTGAATATAGTTCTGGAAACATTAGCCACAGCAATTAGACAAGAGAAAGAAATAAAAGGAATAAAGATAGGAAAAGAAGAAGTTAAACTGTCATTATTTGCTGACATTATGATATTCTACATAGAAGACCCAAAAAATTGTGCCAAAAGACTTCTAGAATTAATTGACAGATTTAGCAGAGTAGCTGGATACAAGAGCAACACTCAAAAATCAGTAGCCTGCTTGTACATAAATGACAAACTCACTGAGAGAAACATTAGGGAAACAATTCCTTTCAGAGTAGCATCCCCCCAAAAAAAATGAAGTATCTAGGAATCAATCTAATGAAGGAGACAAAAGGCTTCTATAATGAAAACTATAGCACTCTGAAAAAAAGAGATAGAAGAGGTTATCAGAAAATGCAAAGATATCCCTTGCTTCTGGGTAAGAAGAATCAACATAGTGAAAATGGCCATATTTCCAAAACTGATATACAGATTTAATGCAGTCCTCATTGAAATACCAAGAGCATATTTCACAGAACTTGAGAAAACAATCCAAATATTCATTTGGAAAAAGAAGAGACCTAGAATAACAAAAGTAATTCTAGACAATAGAAACATGGCAGGGGGTATCACAATTCCCAACTTGAAATTATACTGCAAAGCCACTGTGATAAAAACCAGCACAGTCCTGGCAAAGAAACAGGTCCAAGGATCAATGGATTAGATTAGAAGATGCAGAAACAACACCAGACATACTCAGCTACCTCACCCTTGACAAAGGAGCCAAACATCCTCACTGGAGTAAAGATAGCCTTTTAAAATAAATGGTGTTGGAAAAACTGGCTTTCAACTTGCCAAAGATTAAAACTAGATCCCTATCTTTCACCATGCACTAAACTAAAATAAAAGTGGATTAAATATCTAAATATCAAAACAAACACTAACCTGAAAGGAAAATAAATCAGGTAGAACTTTTGAAGACATTGGCATAGGAAAAGACTATGAAAAAATTCTCAGCAGCATGAGAACTTGCACAAAGAATCAACAACTGGGATCTCATTGTATTAAACAGTTTTTGCAGTGCAAGAGAAACCAACAGAGCTAAAAGACAATTGACAAGGTGGGGGAAAAAATTTATCAGCTGTTCCTCAGACAAAGGACTACTATCTAGAATATATAAAGAACTCAAAATAATCAGACCCTTCAAATACAAAGGACCAATTGAAAAATGGGCATCTGAAATGAACACAGTTCTCAGAAAAACAAGTAAAAGCAGCAAATAAATATATGAAAAATGTTCAACATCACTGGTCATTGAGAGATGCAGATGAAAACAACACTGAGATTCCACCTCACCCCAGAAAGAATGGCTGCAGTCAAGAAATTAACCAAAAACAAATGATCGCAGGGTTGTGGGGAGAAAGGAACCCTTCTCCATTGTTGGTGGGGGTGCAGACTGGTGCAACCACTGTTGAAATCAATATGGAGATACCTCAAAGAACTAGGATTTGAGGTCCCATTTGACCCAGCTATCCCTTTGCTCGGTATCTTTCCAAAAGAATTAAAAGAATCATACTATATGCATAACCATGCATACTATATATGCACACCCATGCTTATAGTGACACTGTTTGTAATAGCTGTGCCCGTCAACTGGAGACTGGATAAAGAAGATGTGGTTTTTCTATAAAATGAAGTATTGCTCAGCCATAAAGAATGAGAAACTAGAGACATTTACAGCTGAATGGATGCACATTGAGGCTATACTCAAGTGAAATAAATAGGACACACTTGAGTAAATACCGTATAGTTTCTCTGGTGTGAAAAAACTAAAAGTGTAAATAAGGTTCAAATGGTGTAATTGATAGTGTGAAATAGGAAGAAAATGGTTAAAGGGGAAGTGGGAAGGGGAAGGGAAAGGAAATAAAAGAAAAGAAAAAATGTGAAAAAAGGAAAAAACGGAAACAAAGTCTTTGTAAATAGGGAATAGTGAAGGGGGTGAAGGGAGGGCCGGCGTACAGGGAAAACATAAGAACCAAGACCTATCGTGTAAAGGTACAAGATCCCAATGATAAATGTAACTGTATTGTTTGCTTTAAATGTTCCCATAACTTAATGGGAATAAATAAAAGAAATAAATAAGAAAGAAAATAGAAAAGGTGAAAACTGAAACATTTTTACACTGAAATCTACCAAAATTTATGACTACAAATTAAAAGTCTCTAAATAAATGTACAGGCATTCTGTTTTTTTTTTTAATGGAAAAAGACTTGTTAAATGAAAAAGAAAAAAAGAATAGCCTGAAATTAAAAAGTGCTCTGATGTTTTGAAGTTGTACGCCATCTGTATTTTGACAGATATAAACATGCAAATAAAAATGAAGAGACTCGAATAGTCAACAAGTGAAAATATTCTCACCTTCCTTCTTCTTTTTTCCCTGCTTGTCTCCCTTCCCTATTCTCTCCCTTTCTCCTTCCCTCATTTAAAAATTTTCTTTTCTTTTTTTCTTCCCTTCCTTCAGTCTTGAAGTTAATATTTTACAATGTTAACAACTATTAATACTGATTAACAGCAGTGTGTGCATCTTATTCTTGTGCTACAATATATTTTGTCAGTTTCTTTCTATTTTTTCTTGTAGTTCTGGGGATTGAATCCAGGGCTTCACACACATTAGGCAAGTGCTACACCACTGAACTACAGTCCCAGCCCTATCTTTTCAATTTCTTTAGAAAAAAAGAAACAAAAATAAAAGCAATACCTTTGCCTCCCTTACAGTGAACTGCAACAACATTTTCCTTATCTTGAGCCATCCATTCTTCTACTTCCTTGGTGAACGATAACATTTTCCTGATTTCAAATATAAGATTTTTAGTTGAATTAAAAATTTTCCAAAAAAAATTAAGCCCAGTGTATTTAGCCCTCTTCTGATAGCCAAGGTAGTGTAAAACTTACTTCAGAGTGGGGACATTGTGATCATCAATCTTGATTCGCTGGACCCTGTAATGGAAGTACTTAGGATCATAAGCTCTTTCACCTAAAAGAAAGAATGCATATATCTCTTTGTCTAAAAACGCAACAAATGATGAAAGTATAAATTAATTAAAATTTTCTATTAGAAATTTCATATCCACCTTCAAAAGGAGCTTTCTGATTTGAAATCTGCTCTAAAACAATCATAAGTCTCAATAACATAAGGATAGCAGATAATCTGACGGTAATCTGAACTCAATTTTGTTCGCTAGGCATCACTTTTAAATTTCTAGCAGACTACTCATTATGTCACTTTTGGATATTTAGAAACCATAGAGCAGAGGCAAATGTAGCCAAGCAAAATGCCGGTCCCCTGAAGATAACTACTTCATATACAAGCATAGCAGTAAGAAATCAAGAGACAAGATTGTTAAACTGGAGTGTAATCTGTTTTCTACAGAATTTGTTGGTGCCGCTGTTTTTCTGCATCAAGTGCCCTGCTGTCACGACAACCCACTCCTGGTAGGGAACACATTTGTTGAGTTGTCTGTGTCCTCAACGTAGTCTTTCACAGAAACCAGAAATATTTTCCTAAACCTAATTCCATTACAGCAGACCTTCCCCAAATGGTTCACTCCCACCCCCTGCCCTCTTTGGTCCTGTCATTCCTGCCTTGCTCATAGCTGCCAGTGAGCTAACTTTCCTACCCAACAGAGCCAGCATAAGATGTGGATTTTTTATCTAACTCCCTACTACTAACTACTAATGGTTAGTTGAAATGTAAAAGTAGAATCATCTTATTACTGTGATAATCTGTTTTCTATATCTGTAGTAGAAAAATGAGTCATGTACATACTGCACAGATTATAGACTTGATAATGGTCCGAATGCTTGGTATCTAGGAACCGGACAACTTCCTAAAAAAGACAGACATGTGTGTTACATATCCAGATATAAATTAGGAGTTACTAAAATGTAACCTAAAATAGTTATTACTTTTTATTCACTTGTGTTTCACTGGCACCTTATAGGGGGGATTCGGGCAATACGAATGAGGGTATATTGATTCCAAATCATATGTAACTAACTGACAGTTTTCAAATAGCCCACAAAGTGGGTTTGGCCACGCAGACTAACCATACTGCAAATGCACATTGGTTAAAGCTACCAGAGAAGGCAATTAGCTAGTTAAATTTCTTCCAGATCATTAATTCACAGATGTCTGATATGGTTGGTACTTAAATCTAGTTCTGAAGAAATGACTTTTATACAGTTATGAATATTACAATTGACCTAAGTGCTATGAAAATAAATAAATGTATAAAAATAATTATGTATAGTATGAAGGATATACAAAGAAAAATTATATCAGATTTTTAGATAAATGACGGTAGTATAGGAACTTAGCTCATTCCTGTTTTCTTATGCTTAAAAATGAATATATACATATAATGTACTTATGAAAAATTTAAAGTTAGAAACATGTTATAATTTAAAATACAGTTAATATTACTATACAAATCCAACAACTTTGTAGCAAAACTTATCTACCTAAAACACACACACACAGACTGTGGATTTAGCTCAGTGGTTCTGCCACCTGCCTCGAAAGTGCAAGGTCCCAAGTTTGGTCCCCAATACCAAAAAAAAAAAAGCAAAGACAATCTAAAACATACACACATATCTCTGTGCAGTAAGAAAAATGATCATCACAAAAATTAAACAACAATTGCCATCAGAACATGTCTATTGGCATAATATTAAAAAAGGTATCAAATATAAATTGGTTATTCCTATGACTGGAGGAAATAAGAAGCCAAAAAGATGAACACTCTGAATCTGATGGAATGAGAGAGAAGGGGGATGGTTTTAAAACTCATGGGATGTCCATTACTAAAATAAAATCCAGTTGGGTTGAGAAGTCAAATATAAAAACCCACAAGTATCTCCAAGAATTTTAAGTGGACGTCAGTTCTCAGGATGAGGAAGAACTAAGTGGTGAATCAATGGAAGATCAATAGGTTTAGGTCTGACTTCATAAAGATTTGAAATTTCTGTTTTAAAAATGCCATAACAGTCAGGGATTTAGCTCAGTGATTCCACCACCTGCCTCGCAAGCACAAGGACCAGAGTTCAATCTCTGATACAAAAAAAAGAGCCACAACACACAACAGAGGAAAATATTATTGCAATAAATTAATAACTCATCAGTAATGCAAGTAACACTCCTTCACCTTATCAATAAATGAGTTAAGGACATAAATAATCCACAAAAGAAAATCCAGCTGACTACCTATATAGATAAATATTCAGCTTTGCCAATAAAGAAGTCAAAACAACAGTGAAATGCCACCTGCACTCATGAAATTGGCCTTTGAATTTTAACTAAGAAAACTCAGTGCTGGCAAATATGGCATGAAAATAAAACCTTTAATTTATTGCTGACACAATCTTTAGGGTTTAGCAATATAAATTAAGAACCCGTATATAGTCATACTCTTTAACTAGGTTATTTCACGCCTAAGAATCTATCCAGAAAAAGGTTTATGCTCAAAGATGTCTGTTGCTGTATTATTGACAGTAGTGACACCTAAATGCTGGACATTAAAGGGCAACTTCAACACATATCAAACATGCAACATTAGAATGCTGTCCTGACTTTTGTTCTCTCAATAAGTAAACATTTTGTACTAGTAAGTGTATGTGTCGCTTTTTTTTTTTTTTTTTTTTTTAGTTGATGTGTTTGTTACAGTTCTCTCGTTGCTGAGACACAATACCAGACACCCAAAGTTAGAGGGGAAGGGGTTTATCCGGCCCACAGTTCATAGAGGTTTCAGTCCATAATCAACCGACTCCAAGGCAGGGATGACAACAGGCAGGACAGAGTGGAAACAACATGGCGCCCACAAGGCAGCAAAGGTGACAAGAGAGTTAACAGCATCTCCCTGCCCCTTTTACCTTATTCAGATTATTCATGAATCAATTGCAGCTTCACACACTATGGACCACATGAGGCTTTGGGGAGTCATCTAGACCCAAACCATAACAGTTGATATTTTCTTCTTCATGGAAAGATCAATATGCTTGATTGGCTAAATTTCAGGGATTTTTTAAAATCACCTTCATATTTTTTGGAGTATTTGAAAGTGATCTTAAGGATTTGACTTTTCTGCATCAATCCATCCTGTATTTTCTAATCTAAGTAGTTTACCTGAAGACTCCAAAATATCTTCTAACCAATTTAGCTGAAAAGGGACAAAAAGTATCTAGAGAAAAATTCAATTTCATCAAGAAACTGCAATGGTCACAATCCATCACCCGATGGAAAGTTTCTGTCCCCCAATGGAAAGTTTCTCTTCCCAGCCAAAATAAAGATTATCAATTTTCTAAGGCCAAAAATTAAACAATGGCTTAGAATATTTTAGGACTCCATGTAAGGCATATTTGTTTTTTTCCATATTTCAGCTTACTGCATTTACAATCCCTGAAAGTCTTCATTGGGATACAACGGTAGGAAATACTTTCTACTCTTTGAAAGATTTCTTGTAACAACTGTTACCTTTGGCTTTTACTAAGTCTGCCAAACACTTTGCTCTGTTTATAGTTGCACATTTCTTGATTTAGAGACAAAAGTACTTTGTCTTTATTTGTACAGGATGGCAGTAGTGGGCAAAATTGATGCTCCCACCACTCTTCTGCTTTCCATACTAACTCTATTCATCCCACATCTGTACAATGTTTGCCACATACACCAGGCATTTCTTTTTTTTGCTAGTGAATTTCCTGCCTATGAAATTTTGTCCTCTGCTTTGCATATTCAGTGTGGTTCAGAATATAACCCTAAGGTGGGCATGGTGACACAAACCTAGAATCCCAGCTACTTGGGAGGCTGAAGGAGGAGGATCATAAATTTGAGGCAGTCTGGGAAATTTAGCAAGACACTGTCTCAAAAAATTTAATTTAATTTTAAAAAATTTTAAAGGGCTGGCGATGTAGCTCTGGGATAGAGCACTTGCCTACCGTGTATGAGGTCCTAGGTTCAATCTCAAGTACTTAAAAAATAAACAAAACCTGCAACGTTCTTCCTTTTTAAAGATAAAGGGAAGCCACAAGCCTGTTTAGCATCCCCTCAGGAGTTAAGTATGCTCACATCTGAATCTTATACCCTTTAGTCAACCTTGCTTTAAAATAGTTTGTATGGGCCAGGGATTTGGCTCAATGGTTCCATTACCTGCTTTGCAAGCTCATGGTACCGATCCCCAGTACTCCCCTCCAAAAAAGCTTGTAGATGGCTCTTATCTATGAAATGATAAGATATACGGCACAGGCATTCCCTGTGCCGTATATACTGCTACTGTTGAACATGCAACCACTGAAGCAGCTCCAGGGCCTAACTCCCAGTCTGCCCACCTAGCTGAACTAAAACCTTAGATCTGAACCTGCACTCTGGCAAAGATGAAAGTATAACTATTATTCACCCAATAAATATGCTTTGGGGTGGATCATAATTTGCAGATCTTATGATAGCAGATAATGCAGCTTTGGATACTTTGGCTAAAAATGGTAAAGTGATCGATGACTACTTAGAGAATTTGTCAAAACCCCAAGAAGATAACAGTGAAAAACTGGTCAAAATCAAGTTTAGAGACCAATTCGGAAGCCAAGAGTAACATCTTTAATTTAAATAGTGAATGAAAGTATTTTTTTTAACATGACAACTAATTGCTAAATTGATATTATCAACACCAAATCTATAAAAATAAAATTAGCTCTACCTAGGTAAGCTATAATTAACTCAACGATTATCAGTTTAACCTGCTGAAAAACAATATTACATAGCAAGCAAGGGGTGGTTGTTACGGTTTATATTTAGATGTCCCCCAAAGCCTCACGCAGTCATAGGTGGGGCCTTTCAGAGGTGTCTGGATATAGTGTGTGGTGCTGGAACTGATACATGGTGCAATGCTAGGCTCAAGGGCACCAGGATTAAGGGTATGAGTGCTACCTGCCCTAAGTAGTCTGGATAAGATTAAAAGGGCAGAAAGACCCTGTTAAGACTCCTTGTTGCTTGGATTCCTTCTGTCTGCCATGAACTATTTCTCCTCTGTGATGCTACCCTCCCTCGAAGCCAGCCAATTACGGTCTCTAAACTGTGAGCTAAATAAACCTTCCTACCTTTAACTTTGGGTATTGGCTATTTTGTCTCAGCAATGAGAAAAGTAACGAAGATCAGGATTTACCCATAGAGATAAATTCTGGCAATTTTGCGAAGTGCATTAAATATTATTGAACATGGTTTTTGGGCAATCAGTGTTATATTTGTTATATATGGATCGATGCAAAAGACAATAATTACTCTAAACTCAACTCTTTTTCAAGTTCACATATTTAGTCACATGAGCTGCAATTTCCTTGTCAAAACTTCTGGTTTCCATCCAAATTACACTTTTTTCTTCAGCTGTACTTTCTGATATTTAGAAGTTTTAAGTTTCTAGAAGTGGATTTTATAGAATGTAATCATTTCACCAACTTTGTGAAATGATGTATAATTGAACAATTTGTGTAAGTACTTAAAATTTTATGCAGTGTTCCATAAAGCAATAAATATTAATGTTCTTTTTTAAAGGCAGAATTACCAGGGCATAGAAATATTGGATGAATTTGACAAAATTTATTTTGCAAATAAAGCACTAGTCACAAAATACTTTGTAAATTCCATTTACACAAAGTGCAAGAAACAGTAAAAATTAATCTATGATGACAAAAGTTATTACTTCTGGTATGTTAGGAAACTGAATAAAAAGGGGCAAGAAATGCTTGATACCTTGACAGTATTGGATTCTTGCATAAATATTTTTATGCAATTTCATCAAAATAGGCATTTAAGATTAGTGCACTTATACCTCAATGAAAATGTAATTATATATGCATTTGTGAGTGTGTGTGTGTGTGTGTGTGTGTGTGTATATATATGTATGTATATAGTCATGTGCCACATAATGACATTTTGATTCATGATGGACAGCTTATACAATAGAGATCCCATAAGATTATGTTGTCTTGTGACCCTGTAACTGTCTTAGTTTGTATAAGCACACTCTCTGATGTTTACACAATGACAAAAGCACCCAACAGAATATATTCCATCATTAAATGACACATAATTGCTCTTACATATAAATATGCATACCTACAGATGAATAATTACATTTTGGGGGGGTTTGAGACGGTCTCACTATGTAGTTGAGACTGACCTGGAACTCAGTATGTAGACCAGGTTGGTCTTGAACTTGCAGGGATCCTCCTGCCTTAGCCTCCCAAGTGCTGAGATTACAGACGTGCACCACCACATCCGGCGTATAATTACATTTGTTTGGGGGAGTAATAGAGATTGAGCCTAGAGCCTTCACACTAAGATATATTCCCAGCCTTTTATATTTTATTTATTTGTTTGTTTGTTTATTTATTTATTCGGGGACAGGATCTTGCTAAGTTGCCCAACTAAGACTTAAGCTTGCAAAACTCCTACCCTGTGCTAGGATTACAGGTATGAACCTCCATTCCTGGCTATATAATTATGTTTTTATTGAGGCATAACTACTACTGTAAAGTCCACTAACTTACATATGCTCAAAGATACTAATTTCTTAAATGATGACTGAATTAGAATTTCATAATACTGTCTGTTTGAAACTTGTTATCCACAGAGTTTAAAGCAGTATCACACCATTATAATTTAGTTCTCAATCTAAGAACATACATTTTAGTTATAGCATTTCCTTCTCCCTCATAGACTATAAAATGTGACCACGATGCTTTATGTGTCCTCCCATCGAGAGATGGAATCTATTTTCTTCTCCTTCAATCCAGGCTGGCTTTGAAATCTATTTTCTAATAGAATGAGGTATATACACATTTACTAGTTTGGAGCCTGGATTTTAAGGGCTTTGTATTCTTTTCTTTGCATTCCTGGGACACTTACCACTCCCATTATGTGTAAAAGGCTGAACTAACTAACCTGCTTGGAGGAGAGACACTATTTGGAACTGCCTAGTCAAGCTGTTTTACACCAGCAAGACTTCAGATGACCCAGTATCCACCCATAGATGCATGAGTATCCCCAGGTGAGAAAGCAAATCCTGTTCCTGGTCATCAAAACCAACTTGTTAAGGCTAATCTAAAGTCAAAAACCACAGTATCGTGAGCTAAATACATGGTTGTTTAAAAACCAGTAAGTTTTGGAGTGGTTTATAAATAACAAAAGCAAACTGATTATCAATCCATTATGATTTTTTACCTTAAAAGAGTAAGCTTTTAGAAGAATATTGCCATCTCAGGTCAATATTAAGCTTATGATTCAACAGTCTGCATTCCCTGAGAAGTATTTGTTACATAGATATCCTTACCTTTTTTGGGGGGGTGGTCTTTAAGACAGAGTCTCACTATGTAGTCCAGGCTAGCCTTGAACTCACAGAGATCCTCCTGCCTCAGTTTCCCAAGTGCTGGGATGACAGGCATGTGTCGCCACATCTGGCTTGAATATCCTTACCTTAATTGGATTCCTATACAAAGACCAACTCCCAGAAGATGGAAATGACATGGCAATAATACGATCTAGAAGTCAAAGTTATAAGTTTTTTAATCAGACTCCTTTTTCATAGAAAAGAACTTTCAAGATAGGGGTTGGCAGAAAAAAGTTAATTCTCAGGATAATCAAGACAATATATTAAATCATCCAACATAGGTACCATTAAACAGGTATACTCCTAAGACTCAATTGGTTCTAGTCATTTACCACAGATTTGTGTTGGTCTCAGTCTAGAGCTCCCTCATTACTTAAAGTTTATTTAATACCTTAAATACCAAAGAAAAGCCAAGAAATCTGCTCCAGTGATGGGTGGGAACTCCCAGAGTGCTTTCTAGCTGTCCTGACTCCAAAAACTGTAGCTCTACAGAGCAGAAACCTCATTGTCTGGGGTTTTAAGAAAAGAAGCCTCTCTAGGATACTTGGAACCCACAATAAATTCTAAATCAAACTATAATGGTGTCAGCTGAAAATTAATTCCACTTCTTGAATGCAATCAAGTAGCTTTGACTTGAAATGATATGAGGTTTTCCATTGCCAAGTCACAAATACATCACACCACCACAGCAGCACATGTCTTTATGGTTACTTTGAAATAAGATGGCTTAGCCAAAGGAAAAACCCAAACAAAATATTATTCACAAGTAAAGTGTGAAATTAACATAGGCAAATCAACAGTAATTTTTACAAACCAGTAACATAAGTGAGGTCTAGATCAAATCCATCCTTTTGGTATCGCCTTTTGTTTTCTGAAACCTGGGAATTTAAAACAACCATTGATTTTTAAGACATACATCAATATGTGAATAAAGGACACTATATTACAGGAATATCCTTACAGTATTTCCCCAAGCAAAAAAACAAATGTGTTTTGCCACTTACCAGCCTTCTAGTCAGCTTTTCAAGATATCTTTTTTGATAAGCCAAATGAAAAACTCTCATCAGAATGACAAGTCGTAGAAGTCGAAATAAAATTGTCAATCTAAATAAATTTAAGAGGCTCATTTTGCTTCAGAAACAGATTATGTCAATATGGATTAAATTGAACACATCTTCTCCCCTCCCTCCCTCCCTCGCTCTCTCTCTTTCCCTCACTCCCGTATGACCTCCCTCCCGTCACCCACATTTAGTGGGGCCCTGAGTTGAAGCCAAGGGTAGTTACATTAAAAACCTAGTTATTTCACTAACGAATAATCCTACAAAGTGCTCCATCTACATATGAAGGTACTTTCATTGTTCTTTTCCTTGTTGGGACAATAGAAGAAAAGAGGGGAGCCGAGGGGATGGGAGGAGAGAGATTACTCACATGCATTTAACTTTCCTAATCCCTAACAGTTCAAACTTTGCCTCCGCTATCTTCATTTTCACAACTACACTGCAAAAACTTATTCTGTGTTACTGTCCATGTCATCGCTTGGTTTCCTATTCCATTTGCTACTTTTTTGAGAATTATGATTGGAGTCACTCAAGTTTTGCATACATCAATACTCTTAGTTGTAGGAAACCTTCAGACAGAACATCAAAAGGAATTTGTGGCTGAAGCCCAAGTGGGAATTTAGGAGGAGGAATTTCAGAATGTAATGGAGCTAAGATTAACATAAGAAGCCAAGTCTCCGATGTCTTCCTTGGGTGCTGCATGTTCCTTGTTCAACTAAAGATACTTAGAGTCTGGAGTCTTCACCTAACTGCCACTATCTTTCTGTTTCAAAGTACATGGAAATTTACTTAATGTGTTTTGAAACACCTTATCACAGAATAGTTTAAAAGATTATACAAAATTAAAGCCATGGAAAGTGCAAAAAAAAAAGAATGAAAGAAAAGAAGAACTTTGAGAGTCATATGTTTCATACCTGGGAGCAGCGCTAATAAACATCAAATCATGAAAAAAGTAAATGATGTCAACCAGCAGAATTACCCCAGTAATGACTGCATTTAAGATGTTGAATAAATCAGAAAAATAATGCTGTTTCCTGTAATACAAAATTAAAAATGTTTATCCTCACAAAAAAGAAATAGTATTTTAAGAATACAAGTTGATTTATATTCATTAAAAATTCTATTTTAACAGATTATTTTAAATGCTAGACTAGACCAAGAGAAAATATAGCATTAATGTACTGTTTTCAAGCAGTAAATGTACATTACATGTATAAATGTGAAGAAGACATGATTGTGCCAGTTTAAGCTTAGTGACAGATATGAGCAAACCATTAAATAAAAGGTAAATGTTTCCTCTTTCATGGGATAAGAAAAGTGGGATCCTGGGCAGTACTATATAGGACAACAGAATCTGAATACATCACAGCCCTAGAGCAGCTGGGACTGTGAGACGTGTACAAGAGATTATGAGAGGGAGAGAGGCCCACTATTTTGAACTCATAGTCTGTCTTTCTTTTGTTGGTTTCAATCTGATTTTGTTTTTAATTATTATAGTCACATACAAATCTGTGCTGATGTTGTACCTTCCCCACTTTAATCCTCCTAGTGAGCTCACAAAAAAGCACCACTACCAGTCACACATAAAACAATAAATAGTACATAGTCTGGCTTTGTAACCATTCTGGAATCCGAAAGGGCTGCTGTGCCCTCCCCAGGGCAATGGCAGACTGCCATTCACCCCTGCTTTTTCCCAAACACTGACTCTTAGACACGAGCATTGGAGCTCCAGAGAAAGCTTCTGATGTGGAGATAGGCTCTTACAGGGTCTTAGTTACCTGTTAGGGGGCAACTGTCCTTAGCTCAAAGTCAAAAAGATCACAAGTCATCAGGAATGGAGATAAACTGCCTTCTGAAACATTCTGGAACAGTGAAGCTGGGGCACTTGGTCCCCGACTCCCTCAGCAATCCAGTGTCAAGGTTCAGTTCACCCATCCACCTTCTCACAAAGCCAGGAAGCAGAAAAAATCAACTGCTGTTGTACTACAAAGTTTCACTGATGGGTTGAGCATTATCTCAGATCTCCTCATCACAGCAAAAGTTTTAATTTTAAGTGATGTAGGGATTATTCATGATACATTTAATTTACTATTAACTATTACTTAGGATTCAACTTGCCAGGGGGGAATTCAACTCAAAGAACTAATTTTTGTATCTCACATACAGATTTATCTTACCAATGTACTTGCAGACACATCAGCAGCCTGATCTCTTTTTGTAAAAATCCCTTCAAAGTTTACTGCAAGCACCATCTAAAGTAAGTTTTTGAACAAAGAAGTACCAGTTGCAGCAGTACCATTATTCAAGCCCAATTTATGAAAAACTGAGTTTGAATTCTCAGTGGACGATGCCTGCAAGGAGTTATCATTTTGGTAAAAAGGGATACATTTCATTGGGTTGATCTGCAAATTATTTTGGGATACTTCTTATGACAGTACAAAATAGCTTTACGCAAAAAAAGAAAAGCTTACCCTTCCAAATATACTCGAAGAAGAACATCCATGAGAAAAAATAAAGCAATAACTAAAGAAATTGAATGATATTCCAAAAGAATATAATCTTTGACTTCAATGACAAATAGTTCCACAATGACGAGAGACAAGTCCACAAAGATCAGCAAAATTCCAAATATGCTAAAATAAATAAAGACAGTGGGGGTTAGCCCCCACGGTTAGACAACATTAAGGCAAATAATCAAATACCAAAATTATTTTGGATTAAACTGTCCAGTGATAAAAAGAATTGTGCTGCCTTAGAATCTCAAAAAGAAAAATTACTCAGTTTTCTCCCAGTAAAAGTAGTTACTAGTGAATAAAGTTTCCTGCAAAGTACACTATCATACTCTCCTATAGTAGACACATCAGACTAACTTCAAGATAGAAGAAGCAAACTAAATGAAAATTACTAACCTCTATTTAAACTCTTTAAATTTTGAGAAATTCATAGTTTCTACCATTTTCTCATAAGTTTTAATAATTAATATGAATAATTTTGAGAATTTAGTGATAAAAACAAAGTGAGCACATGACTACCATAAGCTCTTAAAAGATCACTTTGACCAGTAAGACTTTTTTTTTTAATCAGTGAGTTTTTCAACTAGAACAAGATCACATCTTCATGGGTACTTCTCGCACATTGATAGGCACAAGGAAAGAATCAAATTCTATAAATGTTTACATGATCGAACTGGTAGATGCTAAGACTTTCTCTTACATATTCTCAGCACACTGCCCTTAAATTGATTACATTGTCTGCATAATCTATGAAGCTGAACTCATTAGACTTCAGGGTATTCTTTATAATTACAACTCAAATTAAAATATAATTAAGTTAAAAGGAAGAAATTTCATTGTGCAAATTTGAATCACAGCACAAAATCTTACTCTCATGTAGAGCAGAAGCCTAGGTGAAAATGTTTCCAGAATTAAGGAGTAATTCTAGATATGTAAGGCATTTAATAAAATATTTTACATGTAATTACAAAATCTTAAAATGTATGCTTCATTATTTTTACTTTTACAGGTAGAAAAAATATACTAATGTGCCACTAGACTTAGGCAAATATCATTTCTTTGCAAGTCTTAATGTTCATCTTAAACCAAAATTTCAAGATAAATTAGATTACATTTAAAGTGATTACATAAGTAATTTAGCAACATGTTTACAATAGACATGCTTTTTATTTTTCTAGTTGGCTTTGTACTAATTCTTTTCCATTAAAAATATTCATATTAAATATCAAAGATATTTAATTATTTCCTTTTCTAGACCCTCACATACTTGAATACAACTGAAGATACAATTAAATCCACAATTTTCTTAATCTTGCTGCTGCAAAAATTAATGAAAATGAGATTAATCACCGATTTCCTCTGACACATATTATTAATTTAACAAAAAGCAAAGGTTTGTATAAATACGAATTGAAAAGGAAACTTTTCAGAAGTTATATAGCAAATTGCCTTTCACTAATAACTAAAATTTTGTTTCTGTGTAATGAGCTTTTAAAACTTTTCTATCTAGAAATACATGAATAAAACACAAAACTGGATAAAACTTCAATACTAACTTTAAAGTGAAATTAAGCTTTGAGTCATCAACTAAAGCAACATAGCATGGAGACAGAAGAGGGTGGTAGAGGAGAACTGTATTGTATTCTAGTGCTAGGTCCTTCACTAAGACACTGTGGGCTCTAGAAGCAAGTCATCAAATCAAATCTGACCTGTTTCCACTGTAACGAACTAAAGGATTTCAGAGATGGATTTAGGGAGTAGATTATTTTCTTACTCTTTAATATTCATCTCTTGAAACTAGATACCCATGGAACAGATAAACATTAGTGAGAGTTTCACTTGGTATTGCAAAGGCACTTTGGAGATGAGTGATTTTAGTAAAATATTCTTCTATGGTCATAGGTGGTATTTTCAGAGGTGGCTGGATCTTGAGTGTGTGACTGATTCACAGTGCAATGCTAGGATTAAGGGTGGATGATTAATAAGTCAGTCCATTGATTGCTTTGGCACCTACCCTAATTTCAATACTCTAGATAGACTATAAAAGAGGCAGAAAGACATTGCTAATCTCTCTTGCTTGCTTTGCTACCTTCTGTCTACCATGAACTCTTTCTTCTCTGCGATGCCTGTCTGCCATGTTACCCTGCCTTGGAGCCAGCCAATTACGGACTGAGACCCCTACAAACTGTGAGCAAATAAACCTTTGACTTTCAGTGTCTGGTATTTTGCCTCAGCAATGAGAAAAGTAGCTAAGAGATATATTTGAAAGTAAAAATATTCTAAAGAATGGATTCTTTCCATTATCAAAGGAGGGACAGCCTGAAACTGAAGAGAAAGATAGTCACCCAGGAGTAATTTCTTGCCCTGTTGAACCCTCCAATATAGGACCAAAATTGTACCCTTAGTGGATAGTTCCAAAGACAGTGGTGATAGCCTGAACCCAAGACTGGAGAAACGAAAGGATAGATAAGGAGCAGAAGCAAGGCACTGCCAAAATTAGCCACAGATGAATGCTGCTAGTGTAACCCGAGACACACGGAATCTCTGACTCCTCTCAACTTCCCTTCTTTACCAGCACCCACCACTTCTGCCAGGCTTGGAGAGATAAGAGCAGTGTTGGTGGGAGGTTTACTGACAAAAGAAGTGATGGGAGCTGCCATTCTCTTCACACAAGGCCCTTCTGATCCCACAGAGTCTGCTGGATCTCTGAGTAGCAAGAATTCGTTAGAATAAATTTGAAAGTGCCTGATAAAGTGATCATATGAAACTGTGCCTGTCAGAATTCATGGAGTCCCAAAGTAGGATTTAGCACCTCACATCTCTTGCAAATATACCCTAAATCTGTCCAAAACTACTAAGTATAGAATTTGACCCTGCTGTTTTAAAAAACTGTGCTGTGTAAATGCAGCTTCAAACGGTGTACAGAGTTAACAGAATTAACAGTTTCTTAAGATGTCTGTATCCTGGGAAAGTACTGCCAATACTTGGGAGCAACAAGCATACTCCAACATGCAGCAACGCAACACCTAGCAGACACATCATTCCTAAAAGCAAAACAACACTCAAGCCAAAAGAAATTAACCAAAATAAAGATGTAAAAATAAGGAAAAAGCCTTACAGAGAAAAAGTGGTAAATAAAAGAGACTCAGACCCACATGTAAATGAAAATGGTTAATATAGAATGAAAAATGTAGCACATGGGAATGCAAATAAGTTATCCTAAAAGCAAAGATAAAAAATAAATTCTTAATAATAAAAGAAATAAAATCAATAATGGCATGGATTTGTAGGTCTTCTCATACAATTTGGAGTTTAACGTTTGGAAGAAGACAGAAGTAAAATCAAATAATATTAAATTCCCAAGGTACAAGCTCAGATTCTGCCTGGATACTGATGAAGAAACAAAGCTCATATTTTCTAAGCATTTAGATATAAATTCTGGGCCAGGGGTTTAGCTCACTGGCTCTTTTGCCTGTCTGGCAAGCGCAAGGTTCCGAGTTCAATCCCCAGTAAAAAAGATATAAATGCTGAAGATAAGAAAGAAGTATATAAGTTTCATAAAAGAAAAAAAAGAAGGAAATAAAAATTCAATAGTAAAATGTAGAAAAATTTAAAGAAAATATGAAGAACATGTTTTAATACAGAAAACAAAGCAAAATGATAAAAATAAAATCAGACGTATGAAAAATAATAAACACACCTTATTCCATATTAAATGCTAACAATACTTTCAGATAAATTTAAAACTAAATTATGTTATACATATGAGATAAAAATTATTTGTTGTATGTTTGTTTGTTTGTTTGGTACCGGGGATCAAACTCGGATCCTTGCTCTGCAGGTTGAGGAACCACTGAGCTAGTTCCCCTGCTGAAGATAAAATTAATTTGAAATAATCATTTAAAAATAAGATTAACAAGGATATGAAATGCTAAATCTGAAAACATTAAAAGTTGTTCATATTAACATCAAAGTTGAATTCAAAGCACAAATATGAACTACGATGAAGGCATTTTATCTGATAGAATGGCAGAACTTACATAAAATACTAATTAGACCATATTTAATATGAATCCATATTCAGGGTCGGTCATGTCTTTCCCTTTTCTGGTAAAAATGCTAGGGAGGGGAGGTGTCCAGAACTCAAAGCACTAAGTGCACTGGAGAGAATGTGTAGTCTTCTGCTTTCATCTGGGTGCTCTGATTCTCTCCTATACTATCCACAACATACAAGGTCATATTCTGATACTGTAAACTCAGAATACTGTATAGCAGTAAAGCTTTAGATCTGACTCCAACGTAATGTTTAATATGATCCCAGTCTTCAGGGAAGGTTCTGCCCTTGGGGCACAGTGTTGGTAGCAATGATAAGTCTGAATGTCTTCCTACAATACCATTTTAAACATATATATATACTTTTTCAAAATACACAGGATACATTTTTCAAAAATTCAATAAATTTTGAGAGCCCAGAAGAAATGGATAGATTCCTAGATACATTTGAATTATTAAAATTGAACCAACAAGGTATAAAAACACTGAACAAACCAATAATAAGCAAGGAAACAAAAACAGCAATAAACGTACCAACTAAGAAAAACCCAGGACCTGATGGATTCACTGCCGAATTCTCCAAGAACCTCAGGGAAGATATAATACTCTATAGTTAAATTCATTAATGAAATTGAAAGGGAAGCAGTACTCCCAGATTTGGAAATTAGTATTACCCTGATTCCAAAAGCAGATAAGGACTCAACTAAAAAAGGAAAATTACAGGCCAATGTCTTTAATGTACATAGATACAAAAATCTTCAATAAGATTCTGGCAAACAGAATGCAACAAATCATCAAAAACACCATGTGGGGAATCATATGTTCCCTGCATGTTTGTTGAATCATCCCAGGGAATGCAGGGATACTCAACAAACACATATCAATAAATGTAATATACCACCTAAAGAGAAGCGAGGACAAAAATCACATGATTATCTCCGTAGATGCAGAAAAAGCCTTTCACAAAATCCAACACTCATTCATGATAAAAGCCCTAAAGAAAATATGTAAAGGGTCTTATCTCAATCTGATAAAAGGCATTTATGACAATTACTATCAACATCATATGAAATGTTCTTTCCCTCTAAGAACAAGAAAAGGATGCTCACTATCACTACTCCTGTTCAATATAGTACTCAAACCATCAGCTACAGAAATCAGGCAAGAGAAAAAATAAAAGGAATATATATAGAAAGGGAAGAAGTCAAATTATCATTATTTGCAGGTGGTATGATTCTAGAACTAATAACCAAATTCAGTATCACAGCAGGATATAAAACACATGAAAATCAATAGCATTCCTGTCAACCAGTAATGAACCTACCAAGAAAGAAATTATGAAAATAATATAATTCACAATAGCATCAAGAAAAATTAAACACTTAGGAAATAACTTATTCAAGGAAGTGAAAGACCTCTGTAATGAAAACTGCAGTACTCTGAAAAAGGAGATTGAAAAATATATCAGAAAATGGAGATCATCTCTGTTCCTGGATAGGCAGAAGCAATATTATCAAAATGGCCATACTTCCAAAAATAATATATACATTTAATACAATACCAATCAAAATGCCAATAGCATTCCTCATAAATCTAGAGAAAACTATCATAAAATTCACATGAATCAACCCTGGGCAACAAAAGCAAAGCAGCAGGCATCACAATCCCATATTTCAAGCTGTAGCTTTGTGAAATATGTTTGAATAAGCTAAAGTATAAAGACGTTTAGTGACTCACTGAATGTCAAGTGAATATGAGAAACAAAACACAAGAATTAAGGTTGTCTCTCTCTCTCCAAATCCATTTCTAACCCAATGTTTTCCCCAGGAATACTGCAGGTGCCTCCTATAGCTCTGCAGTGAGCTTTGTACTTTAAAAATACTTTATTTTCTTTGGAGTTGGGTAAATAGAAGGAAATGCTTGCAATTGCTCAGTCTACCCAAATTTTCTGTAACCCTGGATAACCCATGACAGAAATGTCAGCTAATTGGCAGGCATACTTTAATAAAATGGTAGCATGAACTCTTCATTAATGCCACATGATTAAATGAAAGTTAAAGGTAATTGGAAGAATTGTTTTCATTTACTAGTTGCCTATTTGTTTTCCATGTAGCTTTTGACTAGATGCCAAAAATTTCAATGGTGACTGATTAATTTCTGGCAGTAGACAATTCTCTCCAACACTGATAAAACTTTGGAAGAGTGAACCTACAGAAAAATCTTGTGAATAGCTCTCCAGTTCTGCAGTTCAGGCACAAGTGATTTTAAGAATTTATTGTGATTTTACATGTAAAATTCAATCGGGTCATGCAATAGATAGTACTCCTGGTAAGATTACTCTGAAACAAAAGTCATAAAATTCCAATGAGTGTGAAGGGGTCTTTAATCAGCAAAACATATTTCCTTTTGCTATCATTCCTGTTTGTTCAGAGACAAAATCTACAAACTGGGAATCAAAAGATCTCTAGGAAAAGTAAGAAAGGACCACTACTGAGGAATGAGCAGCATCTTACACTTCTCTGTGGAGATACTTTGTAATAAAATTTCTATTTAAGGATATTATCAATTTGCAAACTGAAGAAACATTTATTTTTGAGCTGGAAATTTTTTCAAACAGTACTTGCATATAAATTCAATTTAGAACTATTGTGTACCTCCCTCCTATACATTTTTATGCCATTCCATAGTTTTCCTTTTGTCTCCGTCTTTTGGGAAGCACTCTTTACCCAAAGCTAAGTTCTGTCGTTGTTTTCCTCCATCCCATTAAACTTCAAATTAACTTACTCAACGGCTTTTCAAAATCATCATCACCACCAAGCCTCAAGAGTTGTTCTAATACACTGTGACTATCAAAAACTCAAAAATACATCCTTAGAGCTTTGCTATATGGAATATTGATGTAAAAATTATTTGCACAACATGATTTCCTTGATTATAAAAGATACAGCATTTTAGCAAGAATTTCAGAATCATTATCCCTTAATATTTCCAAGATTACATTTTTCAAAAATTTTCTTCTCAGAAAGGGGCTAAAAGTGTAGGGAAAGTGGGAAGGGTAGGGGAAAGCTAAAAAGGGAAAGAAAAATATGAGAAAATGAAGAAATGGAAATGAAGTGTTTGTAAAAGGGGATGGAGGAGGGGTGAAGGGAGGGCAGGGACAAGGGGAAAAAATGAGAACCAAGACCTGTCATGTAGAGGTACAAGATCCCAACAATGAATGTAACTGTACTGTATCCCTAAAATGTACCAATAAATTCAATGAGGAAAAGAAATATTTCTTCTCTGTTGGCCTCTGTCTCTGTCTCTGTCTCTCGTCTTTGTTTCTGCCTCTTTATATTCTGGCATATGTATTTTTTCATATAGCATATGTGTATGTAAACATAGTGCACATATATCAGCATTGCAAGATGAGATATATCAAAGGTTTACCAAAGAAGTCAAAGATTACTCATATTATTTTACTCAAATGAATGTTAAATACTCATATGAGAGCCAAGTAACTTCTGAGAGTTACTTTTTTTTGGTTGAAATATGTATACTTGCTTTACAATTTATAAACTGGTCAAACTCTAAAAACATATATCAATTAGTTATGTGGAAGCTGCTATATCATTTTCATATATAATTAAGCTTCATATGATGTAGAGATAATCTTGGGCTTCACAGAACTCCCTGATCAGTCAAGATTAAAATGCAGTTATTTATTACTGCATCTAACCAGCACAGGTACTAGCACAGTGGATTAAATTTACTCTATTTCAAAAATCAACTGGAGTTTGTAGGTACTCAAAAATCTAGTTCTTTCTGATTTCCTGATTCTTAAGTCCCTTGACTACCCCATGCTTTTCATCATGGATGGTATTATGTGTGTCTCCTCTTTAGATAGGGTTCAAATAACTGCAGATCTGAGACAAGGACTCCATTAAAGGTAATAGTGGATTTGGATCTCAAGTGGATGCCGAGCTGCGGAGGGTGAGGAGATGAGGGTTTATTGACTGTATTCTCTTCTCTGCTCAGGACTGGTCTTGTCTCCACCCTCTGCTACCTCCTCCTTGTTGCAAATAGAATTTTCTTCTCTTTTACCCATTATGCAGACATCCTCACACTTTCCCAAGGTTTTTGGTTGTTCTAACCAAGGCTGGCCAACAGATTAGAAGTAAGAAGCATTCTTTTTAGGACCTCTTCCTGTAGAAAGTACCCATAAGTACTAGAGCAAGGAGACTAGAAAGTGTAGAAGACATTCTGTATGGTCACTGATGCTCCTGAGAGTGAACTTGTCAGATCTCATTCTCTTTCTTTTCTGAGTACATGCTTTGTCACATGTGGCTCTGGATATATTTACGTTTACATATGTATGTATGTGTGTGTGCATATGTGTGTGTTCATTTAGATCTCACATTTCAATGATGGCTTCTTCCTGAGTTTCTGTTGTCAATTCAGATGAGGCAGTGCTAAAGGGTAAAAAAAAAAAATTATATACATATAGTTAGACACCACATGATTTTCTAGACTTGATTTTTGGTTCAGATTAGCTGTAAGTGTTCTTCAACTTGTAAATGTGTTGACCTTTGAAAAATCTATTTAAAAAGTTAAAAGTTTAGAAGTCAAAAGTCAATGACAAGCGGCCAGGGATTTAGCTCAGTGGTGCGTCTGCCTGCCTCACAAGCGGAAGGTCCTGAGTTTGATCCCAGGTACCAAAAAAAAAAAAAAAGTTAATGACAGTTTTCAAGTACAGTTTTTTACTACTGAACCTAAACCAAATAAATAACAATTTATTAATGTATGTATTAAAATAATACATTTTAATCAAAAGTATTTCCAAGTTAAACATTTTATATCTATTTTTACTCACACATAAAATTGTACATCTTAATGGGATTCACTGTGATATTTCCAATGTATACATAGAAGCATGTATTGATAACATCCACCTAGTCTTCTTCCTGCTCTATTCTGCTCTTACACAGGGTTAAGGAGATGGAAGCAGGAGATGGGGCCTCTATTCAGAGTGATAATGGGTGCGGGTGCGGGAGACTATCCTCATATAGCACCAGTGCTCTGGAGGGGAGGCACAGTCCTAGGATCTATTGATTTTATTCTTCTCTGGGGAAAGCTGCTCTGCTCCCTGCCCACTGCTAACTCTTCCCGGTCCCAAATAGGATTCGGACCTCACTTGGCCAACTCTAATAGAGTCTCACACATAGAAACTAAAGTTGATAAACATCAGCAATAAGAAGACACTTTATGACTTGTTCTCCCTTTTTCTATTTCAATTCCAAAGACAAAAAAATATTCCATGGAGAAGCTTGCCATGGTAGGAGTTTAGAAAGAACACTAGAGAAATTTTATTCCCATGGTTGTTCTTGAGAGTGAATATCTGATCTAAATCTCATTGTAGATTGTATGTATACACGCATGTGTATTTTATGCATACATATGTACCCATTTATATCTTACATTTCACCGGTGAGTCTACCACTGGATACTGATTTCAACTCATGCAGGACAGTTCTAAAGGATGAAAATGGAACATAGTAAGGTACCATGTGACTGACCTAACAGTTTGCTTCAAGTTAACTAAAATTACGATTTATTAAGTGATTGACATTTAAGTCACAAGCAATTGGTTATTTGAAAACTTGTATCCCTTTTCATAGAAATGAATGCTTGTGTGTTTTAATGAAGATATCTAGACTGAAAAGGCTTAATGATCTGTCACTTAAGTTTAGCTCTTTACTGTAACTTTAACCACAATGGGAAAGAATTTTGTTTAATTTATTTCATATACAGCTGCAGTTTCTAGGAATAAATATCTTTTACTTCATCTAAATTTCTGATTCTCAAGTCTCCTCTTGACTTGGTTCCTTATTTTCACCATCACAGATGTCTTCTCTTTCCTTACCTAGGGTCACGAAACAGCAGATCTGAGGCAGTGTTCCATATAAGGAGATGAAAGAAGTGAATTTTGTTACCTGCCTCCGTTGGTAGTGAGGACAAGAGGGACACTTCCAGGGACATTAGCTCTGTGCTTTTCACTCATGCCTCAACTGCTACTTCCTTCCTGGTCCAGATCAGTTTCTGTCCTCCCTTACTCCATTCTGGTAGAGTGTCACATGTAGTAACTAACTAAGGGTGACAAACACTAGTGGTAAAAAGAGGGCATGTATGGCTTATTCGTTTTGTCACCTCTGTCCAAAAGGCAGAGATGTTATATATCGAAGCTTGCCCTGAAAAGACATTAGAAGTTGAAAGGAACATTGTATTCTCATAAATACTCCGACAGTGAACATCCAAATTATCAGTCTCTCTCTCTCTATGTGTGTGTATTCATGTATGTGCATGTGTGTGCATATATGTGTATGTGTGTATATTTATATATACATATATATATCTTACATTGTATTGATGAATTGACTCAAGGATCTTGTCTTAGATGTAGATGGGAGGGTGCTAAAGAATTTTAAAAGTACTTTCTGACTTACTATTTTACTTAAAATTGCAAGTTACAATTACCCTTCAACTTATAAGTTACAATTCAACTTATAAAGTGGATGACCTTTGAAATCTCTTGTGTAAATCTTTTATCTGGAACACATATACCATTTTTCCTGGAGATGCTACATACCGTTGTAACAAATATTTTAGTTATATCAAAAATGTAATGACACAGTTTAAGTACAGTTGTTTAATAATAAACCTGAATCAACATGTAGCAACTTTTGTGGTATAATTCAACTTCAGTCTGCAGGAACCCATCCTTCTAATTCCTTTTATCCAAATTGATCCCAAAAGATAGAAAAGTGCCTCTACATGCTAGACAGAGACCATTTTGAAACAATACCAGTGCTACTCTGTATTGCCAGACTATGAACTTCCAAATCTCAACCTTTGTCTTCTTCTGTGTGTATATGTAAGTTTGGATATATACAGCCTCATTTCTACTTATCAACATGTATTCGTTTGATTCTCTCACAGTTTACCAGTAACTCCATTACAGGGTTCTGATTTGAATTCATATGGGGTAGTGCTGAAGGATTTAAAAATACACATAGTCAGATACACAATTTCTTTGATTTAACTTTCTAATTCAATTTAACTAATATTATTCTACACATAATACTTTTTCCACATATAAAGCAATTATTTGCAAACTCATTTATCATTTGTTGATAAAAATTAGTCTTTATGTGTTTATAATGAATTATCATTGGTCTATAAAAACTTTAATGACACAAGAGTTAAGTTCAGTTCTTTACTATCCATCCTAAACACAATGGGGATGCGTTCAGTGAATTAATTTCTGATTCAACTGCAGTTTCTAGGCACTTAGTTTTCTAGGTAGCAGTTTCTGCTTCAATTGTAATTTTACCTCATTTAATTTCCTGATTCTTATGTCAGCAGCCACTTCTTAATTTTAGTTTCAGAGTTGGGTCTCTGCTCTCTCATAGGGCCAAAAAACTCCAGGATGAGGCAGGAGCTTCATCCTATCTGATGATGGGTGTAGGTTTGGGGCATGAACCTCTGGTTATGGTGGCAGATTTCTGGAGGGTGAGGAACACTTTCAGGACTCCTAGTTTCATTGTTTTTCACTGAATTCTGCTCCCTTTCCGCTCTTGTTTCCTACTTGCTCCAAATAGAATTCTCTACTCCTTTGGCCGACAGAATTTCATATGCAATAACTAATTGTAGCAAACTCTAGGATTAAGAAGACCCCCCTCTACGTCTTAGTGCTTTTCTACCTCATATCAAAAGACAGAGTATTCCACACAGACCTAACTATGAGAGGTCATTGGAACTCTATATTTTCATGGATGCTCCTACAGAGACTATCCCATATCTCAATCTTTCTATATGTTGTGTGTGTGCTTACCTACATGCATATTTATAGGATATGTACATGTATTTATATCTTACTTTTCATTGGTGAATTCACATGAGGTTGCTGCTTTGATTTCAGGTGGAACTTCACTAAAGGATCAAAAGGTAAAATAATAACACATGACTTTTTAGTTCAAATTAGCTACTTCAATACATAAACTATCTTTAAAAACTTCACGTATAAGTCAGTTATTTAGACTCTAATAGGTCACATTCTCTAGAAATTATGCTTTATTATGTTTTAGTCTTGTCAAAAATGTAATGACTAACGCTTTCAGTATAATTGTTTATGCCTGAATCTGAATTAATATATAACTGCCTTTTGTGGTATAATCTATTTTAAATTCAACTTCAATTTGTTGGAACGCATTCCTCTTTTGTTTTTTAACACATTTTTCTTATCCCATCCTACTGACCACTTAGAATGTCAGACATTCTGTAGGTCATGCTTTGAATTTCCCAAATCCCAATTTTTCTCTTTCTCTGTGTGTATGTGTAGCAGTGTATGAATTCTTATATGCTTATGTTTGTGTGCATATATATGTATATGTGTATATATACATATATATGTATCTCATTGTTATATATACATTTCGCAGGTAGTTCCATCATAGTGTATTGACTGATACAAATTTATATGACTCAGTGCTAAAGGATTTTTAAAATACCCATGGAGGGCTGGGGATTTAGCTCAATGGTTCTACCATCTGTCTCACAAGTGCAAGGTCCCGAGTTCGATCCCCAGAACCAAAAAGAAAAAGCCTCTAAAAATAACCATGGTGATCAGATACCACATGACTCAACAATCTTAAATTTTAGGTACAAAAAAGTTATAGTTTCTGTACAACTTATAAACTAGTTGTCTCTTAACTTATATCTAAATCAGTTATTTTAAAGCTTCTATGTCTGTTTTTATAGAAATAAAGTTTATATGTTTTTAATGGCTATGTGACCTATGGAAAAGTTTCATGTATAAATCTTTATGTTCAGTTTTTCACAAATTAAACCTAATGACAGTGTCAGAATTTTGTGGCTTGATTTATTTCCAATTCAACTGAAGTTTCTAGGTACAAATCTACTTTTAAGTCATATCATTTCCTGATTCTCAGGACCTTCCATCTACTCCTTACTTTCTTTACCATAGGTGTCTTTCTGGGGCTTTGGCTTAGTGGTTCTACCACCTGCCTCACAAGCACAAGGGCCCAAATTCAATCTGTGGTACCAAAAAAAGAAAAATAAAAAGATACACAGGTGTCTTTCTGCTCTTGCATAGGGCCAAGAAACTACAAGTCTGAGGTAAGGGCATCCTAGTGTAATCTATCTCTTTTGTACAATATAATCTAAAAAAAACAGGGCTGGGGATTTAGCTCAATGGTTCTGCCACCTGCCTTGCAAGCACAAGGACCCAAGTTCGATCCTCAGTACCAAAAAATAAATAAATGAAAGAAAGAAAGAAAGAAAATTGTCAAAGATGTCACAGTGAGATTTAGAGAAAGTATCAAAGATACTCTGTACTCCCTTGAATCTTCCTGAGTATGAACTTCCAAAATCTCAATATCTACCTTTTTCTATGTGTATGTATGGATCAATCTTAGGATTGTGAATAACTTTAATGACTTAAGACTTCAGATTGGTTTATTACTGCTGAACCTAAGCACAACATCAAGGCTTTTATGGCTTATTTGAAATTCAACTGCTTTCCCTAGGTACAAATCCCTTTACTTCATCCAATTTCCTGATTCCCAGTTCTCTCTATTGATTCTTTATTTTCCCTATCGTAAATGTCTTCTCTGTTCTCACACAGGGTACTATAGGTTGAATATGAAATGTCCCCAAAGGCCCATGTGTTGAAAGTTTGGTCCTCAGCTAATTGGAAGGTGGTAGAAACTTTAACAGGTGGGGCCTACTCAGAGGCTTTAGGTCACTGAAGTTTTGCCCTCTAAAGGGATTGTGGAACTCCAGCCTCTTACCTTCTCTTTTTGCTTCTGTTTGCTGTGAGGTGGGTAGCTTGCTCTACCAGTCACTCTGTAGCATGACGTACTGACTTGCCATAGACTCCAAAGCAATAGAGCCAACTGATCATGGTTTGCAAACACCAAACCTGAGTCAAAATAAATTGTTTCTTTTCTTTAAGCTGATTATCTCAGGTGTTTTATTATAGTGACAAAAACTGACTACCACTTGGGGTCAAGAATCTGCAGGCTGAGGCAGTGGCTCCACCCGGTGTTGGTGGGGTTTGTGGCACCAGCTTCACGTGGTAGCCAAGCTCTGGGGAGTAGAGAACGTTTCCAGGGCTGCTTGCTTCATTCTTTTCTGCTGAAAGCTACGTTGTTCCCTGTCCACTGCTACCTTCTCCTTGGTCTAATAGAATTTCCTCCTCCTCCATTTGTCCAGTCTAGTAGAGCCTTGTACACAGGAAATAAATACAAGTTTTCTAAGCATTTTCTACTACTAAGGGAGACAAACACCAACAGGAACAAGAATCTCTATTGCTATCTTTTATCTATCACAATAAAAAATAATAGTTACCTACAGGTACTATGAAGATTTAGAAAGAGTATCAAAGACAGACACTGTATCCACACATATATAGTTAACTGATTTTCAACAAAGAATACACTGGAGAAAGGACACTTTTTTCAATAAATGATACAGGGAAAAATGGATATCAACATGTATAAAGATGAAACTGGACCCCTATTTCTTACCGTATACAAAAATCAACTCAGATAAAAGACTTCAATGGAACCCAAAACTGAAGTTACTAGGAGAAAATCTAGGGGAAATGATTCATAACATTGGACTAGGCAAGGATTTTTTTTTATAAGATCTAAAAGCACAACGATAAAAACAAAGCTAGACAGATGAGATCATGACAAATTAAAAAGCAAAGGAAACAATAAACAACAGTGAGGTGACAACCTAAAGAGCAGGTGAAAAATATTTGGAAAACCAAAATCCAGTAAAAAAAAAAAAGCAGTAAAATCCCCAAATAATTCAATTAAAAACTGCTCAAAGACCCAGATACACACTTTTCAAAAGAAGATGAATATGAAATGGCAGAACATTTAAAATCACCAATCAGGGAATATCAAATCAACACAAAATGAGATATTATCTCATCCAAGTTAGAATGGGCTATTATAAGACTAGTGCTGGTGGGAAAATGGAGAAAATGAAAATTAGTACACCCATTATGGAAACCAGTATGGAAATTTCTCAAATCATTAAAAATAGAATCACCATGGGGTCAGGGATGTAGCTTAGTGGTGCTGTGCCTTACTAGCAAGCGCAAGATCCTGAGTTTGATCCCCGGTACCAAAAGAAAAATTATCATATGACCAAATTACCTCACTACTGGGTAGGTATTCAGAGGAGAGAAAAATCACTATGTTCAAGAGACATTTGCACTCCAATATTTATTGCAGCATTATTCACAATAGTCAAGAGATAGAATCATATCTGTTATAGAGCTGAGCCCTGATTCTGAACAGTGAGCCTCTCAGGAAATAGCTGAGTTTCCCCACCATGCCATTCTCTGTCCTTGAATGGAGCTAGAAAGCCTACCCTGAGCAGACTGGCTGACAAAGGCTGAGGAAACTGGATGAGACTGCTGTGTCTGGTGGCTCTACTCAAAGAAAAACAATTGGGTGGCCCCACTTGTTTCTTGTAGCCCAGGAAGCAGTTGATCAGCCACTTCTTTGAGGCTCAGCCTACAGAGGCCCTGAGAAGCAGCTGTTCTGTCCATTTCATGGGTAGCTCCATCAACACATACTGATGCAAATTCATATGGGTCAGGATTTAAAACATATATATTGTCATGTATCACATGACTCCTAAACTTTATATTCTGGCCGGGCGTGATGGCACACACCTGTAATCCCAGCACTCGGGAGGCTGAGGCAGCAGGATTGCTGTGAGTTCGAGACCAGCCTGGGCTACATAGTGAGTTCCAGGTCAGTCTTGACTACATAGTGAGACCCCATCTCAAAAAAAAAGTAAACTTTATATTTGGGCTTAATTTGCTCTGAAAATTATAAACTACTGGGATTATATTCACATGTAAATCAGTTACTTTGAAACTTGTATATCACTTTTCCACAGGCATGAGCTTTTATATGTTTGTGGTGAAAATGTTTATCTCAGTTAAAAATTTAACAATGAAGTTTTTTGTGTAGTTTTTTGCAATTGAATATAAGCAGTGTCAGCTTTTTATTGGTATGGATTTTTTCAAATTCAATTCACTTTGTAGAAACAAATCCCTTACACCCTGTCTAACTTCCTTCATCCACTTCTTACTTTCACCATCATAGATGTCCTTCTTGCTCTTACAGAAGCTCAAGAAATTGTAAACCTGAGGCAGGGACACAATACCAGACACCAAAAAATTAAAGAAGAAAAGGTTTATTTTGGCTAACAGTTTGCAGATGTTTCAGTCCATAGTGCCCTGGCTGCAAGGCAGGGTGGCATGGGAGAGAGGCACAGCAGTGGAAAACTGCTCACTGCATGGCACACAGGAAGGGGAAAGAGATCAGGGAGGAGCCAGGAAGGGAGGCAGACCCTTCGAGGCCATACCCACAATGACAAACCTCTTCTGGCCAGCCCCCATCTCCCAACAGCAAGTTAGCTATAAGCCCCTGTAGTCCGATAGTCTTCCAGAAGCCCTAAGAGTGCACGAGGCTCTTGGGGGACACTTAGACATAAAGCATAAAAATATGTGGATAATGATGAGCACATCCAGTTTCCACTGCCTCCGATCTTTTATGCTGAGGCTCTATGGCTCCCTGTCTACTGCTCCCTCCTCTTTGCTCAGAGTAGAATTCTTTCTTTGGACCTGCTCCACGAGAGTCATAAATAGGAACCTGATGGCTTCCTAGGGATGGTCTGTTACTAAGAGTAACACACTGACTAGAAGAAGAATTCTGTTAATGACTTGTTCCTCTCAACAAATTTGATCTTTAAAAGGCATTTTAAAAAATCTCTGGAACATTTTTTCATATATTTACTTGCTGCTTTTACTTCTTTGTCTGAGAAATGTCTGTTCGTTTCAGAGGCCCATTTTTGAATTTGGTCTTTATATTTGTGGGGGCTGATTGTTTTGAGTTCTTTATATATTCTATGAGGAGCAGCTGGTAAAAATTTTTTTCCACTTTGTAGGTTGTCTCTTAGTTCTGTTGATGATTTCTTTCGGAGGGCAGAAGCTTTTTAATAAGATGAGATCGCAGTTGTTGATTCTTTCTGCTAGTTCCCGTGCTACTGAGGATTTTGATTTGTTCATAAAGTCTTTTCCTATGCCAATGTCTTCCAGAGTTCTGCCTAACTTATCTTCCAGCAAGTTTAGTGTTTCTGTTTTAATATTTAGATCTTTAATCCACTTGGATTTTACGTTAGTGCATGGTGAAAGATAAGGGTCCAGTTTTAATCTTTGGCAGGCTGAAATCCAGTTTTTCCAACACCATTTATTGAACAGGCTATCTTTCCTCTACTGAGGATGGTCAGCTCCTTTGTCAAAGATGAGGTAGCTGAGTACATCTGGATTTGTTTTTTTGTCTTCCATTCTGTTCCACTGATCCTCAGATCACTGGTCATTCGACAGATGCAGATGAAAACAACACTGAGATTCCACCTCACCCCACAAAGAATGGCTGCTATCAAGAAATCACACAATAACAAATGTTGGCGGGGCTGTGGGGAGAGAGGAACCCTTCTACATTGTTGGTGGGAGTGCAGACTGGTACAACCACTATGGAAATCAATATGGAGATACCTCAAAGAGTTGGGACTAGAGGTTCCATTTGATCCAGCCATCCCTCTGCTGGGTATCTTTCCAAAAGAACTAAAAGAATCATATCACAGTGATGTATGCGCACCCATGTTTATAGTGGCACAGTTTGTAATAGCTAAAACTTGGAAACAGCCTATTTGCCCACCAGTTGGAAACTGGATAAAGAAGATGTAGTTTTTCTATAAAATGGAATATTACTCAGCCATAAAGAATGAGAAATTAGATTCATTCATAGGAAAATGGATACATATTGAGGATATAGTCCTAAGTGAAATAAATGAGTCACACATGTGTAAATACAGAATAGTTTCTCTGGTGTGAATAAACTGTAATAGTACATAAGATCCTAATGAGATAACTGACATTGTGAAATGGAAAGAAAAGGGCTAAAGGTGTAGGGAAGGTGGGATGGGTAGGGGAAAGGTAATAAGGGAAAAGATAAAAATGTGAGAAAATGAAAAGATGGAAATAAAGTGTTTGTAAATGGGGAGGGGAGGAGAGGGGTGAAGGGAGGGCAGGGACAAGGGGAAAAAATGAGAACCAAGACCTGTCATGTAGAGGTACAAGATCCCAACAATGAATGTAACTGTACTGTATCCCTAAAATGTACCAATGAACTCAATTTTTTAAAAAAATCTCTGAATGAGAATATTTAGATTTAAAAAGAGCCAAAGGTGCTTTGTGTGGCCAAGGGACTTCTGAGAATGAATTTTACAAATCTCAGTGTCTTTTGTTCCTTCTTTCCTTGTTTGAGATTTCACTGTATGTTTGTGTATATGTGCAGTGCATGTCTTGATAAAAACATGTATGTAGGAATGTATGCATATATATTTACATGCATATGTATGTCGCTTGTATTTCTTTCAAACTCACAGTTCATTGAAGGGTTCTACATAAGATACTGATGTAACATCCTTCTGGTGTAAGCTAAGGGATTATAAAAGCATACTGTCAGAAAAAACATGATTTTTCCTTATATTTTAGGGTTAAATACCTATACACTACATGTGAACTGGTCAGCCTTTGAATATCAAGGTACATATCACAACTATTTGAACTTGATATGGCATTATATATTAGTAATTAGGCCTTATAGGTATGATAAGTATCTTAAGGCTTGTGAAAGTACAATGCTTTCAGATTTAAAATCTCTATAATATTACCTCAGTCCCAGTGTGTGACAGTCCTTTACGGTGACATCTATTTCAAAATCAACTTCAATGCATAAGTAAAGGTCACTTTTGCTCCATCTAAATTCCTGATTCTCACATCCCTCTATCACCTCCTTACCTTCACCCATCCATCATATGTGTCTGCTCTGCTCTCAAGTGGGCTAATTAGCTGCAGGTCTGTGTGGGAAGGTCTCTCTCAAAAATGTTGGTTGGGTTTTAGATGGGGAACCATTGTCACTTGGTGACAGGGCTCTCAAGGATGCAGTGTTTATACAGCATGTATTGACTGAAAATTTCTGCTAAGGGGTCTATTGCTATCCTTTGCGGGGTAGTATGGATAGGATTCTTTTCCTCTTTGGTGCCCTCCAGTAGTCTTATATAAGAAACCTAGCAGTTTTCTAAGGGATTAGCCACTACTAGCAGTAACAAACACACTACCCGAAAGAAGCAATCTCTTCCAATCTTACCCAATTTGATCTTTTAAAAGAAAGTTATCTGCAGATCCTATAGTGACACAGTTAGATGCCACATCAAAGATAGGTAGTATCAGGGATACTCCCCAAGACAGATTTTACCAATTTCTACCTCTCTGTATTGTCACGGTTTCATAATTTTTGATGGATTGCTTTTTTAAATTTGTTTGTGTACCATGGCCAGAACCCAGGGCCTCACATACGCCAGGCAAGGGTTCTAGTGCTGAGAATGCTGCTGAGAACTTCCCACCCCTCTTAGTCTCACCAAGTTGCCCAGTGGCCTTGACCTGGCACTCCTCAGGCCTCAGCCTCCTCGTGTCCTACTACACCTATTTTACAGTTTTATGATTGTGTACATGGGGTAGTAAATATATATGTGTGATGATAGAAATATATAGTTCTGTACATAAACATATATATACATCCATGTATTTATCTTTTTTCTTAGTTTATGCTTCACCTTTCACTGATAGCTCCATCATCAGAATCTAATGTTGATTCACTTCAGTACAACCTAATATATTAAAAAGTATGCAGTTGGGTAACATGTATAAATATAACTAATGTTTTTGGTCAAATAGCATTTATTCTGTGAGTTGTGCTCTAGTTGATCTTTGAATATTTATGTGTGTAGCACTCATCTGAATGTGGCATTTTTATTAAAAGTAAGTCTTCATGTTGTAATGAACATCTTAGGCTTCTGAAAAAAAGTAACGTATGGAGGTTTAAGGTAATGTTACCTTAATCTCAACAGTATAGCAGCCTTTTTGGTGGCATTTATCTCAAATTTATCTATAATTTATAGGTACACATCCTCTACTACATCTAAATCCTTCATTCTTAAGTCAGTCTTCACCTCCTTATATTTTCATTCATCGTGATTGTCTTTTGTGCCCATTAAATACAATGAAGTAGCCACAAATAGGAGGCAGGGACTCCACCCGAGATAGTAATGGGTTTGTTTTTGTTTTGTTTGGTACCAGGGATTGAACTCTGGTCCTTGCACTTGCAAGGCAGGCCACCAAACCACTGAGCTAAATCCCTGGCCCTGTAATGGGTTTGTATTTAAGGTTTAGATATAAAATTTTGCCCAAAACTCTTGTGTATTCTGAGCTGAGGCTCTTGGAAGATGACCAAATCTTGAGTGCTATTCACTGATGAATTCCTGCCTGAAATGCTCTTAGGGAGTAGAACCTGGTCAGAAGAGGTGCATCATTGGAGGTGTGACCTGGAAGGATGCATCGTATTGTTCCCAACTTCTCCCTTCTGTCTCTGTTTCCTGATTGCCATGGGACCTGCACCTTTCCTCTGCCATATCCTTAGTCCATGCTGTTTCTGCTTGGAGCCAGCTGAAACTCATGCACAAACCCCACTAAAACTGTGAGCCAAAAGTAAACCTTTCCTCTAAGTTTTGGGTGTCAGATATTCTGTCCTACCAGTGGAAAAGTGACTAATACAGTAGCTGAGGTCTGGAGAATGAGCGACACATGTCTAGGTTCCATAACTTTGACCTCTTCTGCTGAAGACTCCACTGTTCCCTGTCCACTATTTCTTCCTCTTTCCCCAAATAGTATTCTGTCCTTTGGTCCCTCGTAGTAGGGTCTCATATAGGAAACCTGATCATATCCTATGAGACTGGCTGCTCCTAAGACTAACTGAGGGTGACAAAGCTACTGACTGGAAGAAGCAACCTATTCAGTGAGAAGATTTAGGTACAGTGTCAAGGATGTTTTCTTTTTCCAGGACTATAGTTTTTATTTTTATTGTTTTTTCTTTTATTGAGTTTATTAGTACATTTTAGGTATACAGAGGACTATAGTTTTTACAATTGAAAAATTTTTCTTTCTTTTTCTCTTTTTTCTTTGTGTTCTTTATTTTTCTTTCTTTGATGTATCTGTGTGACTCTTAATAGAAATATGTATATATTTGTGTATGTGTGTGTATATGTGTGTGTGTTTGTATATTTTTAACTCACATTTCATTGATGGATTCCACATAGACTGGTGTCACTTTATTCTTCTGTAAGCTAAGGATTTATAAAAAATATTGTCAGACACAACGTGTGATTTTTTCACTTACTCTTTTAGATCAAATACTAATAGTTACTCTAGACATGAACTGATCGATTTTTAAATATCCATTTCCATTTCACTACTATTTGAACTTGGTGTGGAAATTTTTATTAGGAATGTGTCATTATGGGGCCGATAATGAATGTCATAGGCCTGTGAAAGTAGTAATATTTTCAGATTTAACAAAAGTTCCACATTATTGTCTTTGTCCTAATATGTAACAGTCACTTATGGTGGTATTTATTTCAAAATCAACTTAACTATGTAGGTAAAGGTCATTCTTACCCCATCTAGCTTCTTGACTTTCAAGTCCCTCCATCCACTGCTTACTTTCACCTATCCTATGCTTCTCTTCTCCCCAGAAAACAGCGTTAATTACCTGCATTAATTAGCTGCAAGCTTGAGTCAATGGGTCCTTCCAAACTGATGGTGATTTTGGGTTTGGGGAATTAGCATTACACAGTAGCTGAGTGAGACAGTTAAGTTTGACTGTGTCAGTTTAATTGGCTTGGGAGATTCCTAGGGATTGGTAAAGCACACTTCTGGGTGTGTCCGGGTGGGTCTTAGAAGCATGAACTTGGGCACTATATCTGGTCCCTTGTCCCTTCCTCTCTGGCACTGCTGCTCTACTCTTCTTCCCAGCCACCATGAACTAAGCAACATTCCTCTACCGTGCCTTTTCACCAAGATGTTCTTGCTTTGGAGCTAGCCATCCACGGACGGAACCCACTGAAACCATGAGTTAAATTAAACTTCTCCTCCTTTAAGTTGTAGGTGTCAGGTATTGGAACCCAGTAATGGGAAATCTGATCAACATCAGTTCTTCAATGTGGGAGATACTCTCGGGGTCTTTGTTTTTCAACTTTCCTGCTTAAAGCTCCACTTGCTTCATGTTCAATTTTTATCTCTTCCTTTCTTAGGATTCCCTTTACTTGTTTCTTATCACACTTTAAATATCGCTCCCCCAAATTAAATTGTTGATGTCTTAGTACCTGTCATTGAAAATGTGACCCTATTTAGAGATAGAGATGCTGCTGACATAAACAGTTCAGACCAGGTCATACTGGGGTAGATTCAGACTCTTAATGTAATGCGACTAGAGTTCTTACAGATAGGTAAAATGTGGAGTCATACACACACTGGGAGATTATTGTGTGCAAATTAAGGCAGAGACCTGTGTGATGAGTGTACATTCTAAGGAATGCCAACGATTGACAGCAAGCAACAAGCAGTAGTAGAGAGGCACAGAATATATTCTTCTTTGCAGCCCTCAAAAACAGCCAACGCTGAGAGTACCAGTTTAGGTTTATGATGTGAAACCTCTAACTGTGAGATAAATTGCTATTGTTCCAGCCACTTTGTGTCAGATATGTTGTTACTGTAGCCCTAGCAAATTATTAACCTCTCCTAGTCAAGTCTCATTACACAGGCAGTCTGATAGTTTTCAAAGGGCTTTGGCTACTGGTCACTTAAATAGGAAGTAGTCTGTTTTTTCTGACTTGTCACTTACCTAACTAGAGCAAAAGAATGGGTGGGATGAGGCAGAAAGACACTGAGATGACACAGCCAGTACTTTAGAAATGATTCCCAGTAAATTTTATATTTAATATGTGTGTATCTTTATATGTAAAGTATATACATGTTTATCTGACCATTGATGGATGATTCCATCATAAGTTACCAGAGGCAATCATGTGGGTCTAAGCTAAAGGATTAAATTGTACATAACCAAACACCATGTGAATTCAAATTAGCTACAATTTGCTTACAACTTATAAATTGACTGAACCAAAAATATTCACATGTAGCTTTGTTATTTGAAAAGGCAAGTAATTGCATTTTTCCCTAAAAATGAGCTTTATCCAGTGAAAATGAAAATCCTACACTTGCCAAAAAACCCTTTAATGGATCAAGATTTAAGAACATTTCCTTACCGCTAAACACAACCCAGTATGTAAGGGTCTTTTGTGGTAGAATTTACTTTAAAGTCAATTTGAGTTTGCAGGAACCCATCCTTCTAATTCCACAGAGTATCCTGCTTGCCAAGTCCCTTCATCCCCTTCTTTCATCCATCATGGTTGTCTTTCTTAGTCTCTCAAATATGGTCAGGCAACTGAGGCCAATCAGGAGATGGATCCCATAAGACGGGGTGTTTGGGTCTGGGAAACCAGCTTTCCATGGCAGCAGAGTTCTGGAGCATGAAGAACTAATTCCAAGTATATCTGCTCTTTTTTTTTTGTTTGTTCTGAGGGCTCCTCTGCTGCCCACTGCTACCACATCTTTTTGGTCAGGCATGGTGACATTTTATGGGTTTTTGTTGCTAGTCTATAAAATTCACAAGAACCTTTTGATCTGATTGAGCCTCTACATATATGTGTGTGTGTGTGTGTGTGTGTGTGTGTGTGTGTGTGTGTGTATTTTTAACTCACATTTCATTGATGGATTCCACATAGACTGGTGTCACTTTATTCTTCTGTAAGCTAAGGATTTATAAAAAAATATTGTCATTATGGGGCTGATAATGATATATATTTATTTCCAAAACAGAATTTTGCTTGCAGATGGTGTCAGACTATCAGGTATATTGTGTATTTTTATGACCACTCCAAAATAGTTAACCACTGAGATGACTGGAAATCAACTCACCTGTTGTGGATATTCACACTAGACTATACTGAAAAGGCTGTTAATGCATTTTTATCTCTGTGAACACACAAAAATTACAGAAAGAATAACATCAATGTAGATGAAATGCTTTTCCCTACAGGAATTTCAGGGCACAAAGAGTAAGTCATACAGAACAAATCCTGAAGACACACTATAGGAGCTGAAGCAACTTTAGGTCAGCACAGTCAGACCTACAAGCCAATCTCTGGAGTATACACCCCCATGTGTGTGTGTGTGTGTGTGTGTGTGTGTGTGTGTGTGTGTGTGTGTGATTAAACAACCTTCCTTACTTCACATGTTTACAAATAAAATTTGAAATGTGAGAGAGATATGAGTAAGGTGTATCCAGATACTAGTTAAAGGATACAAAGTAAGGAAAGAAAATGGCCACGTGTGGCGGTGCATGCCTGTAATCACAGCACTCGGTAGGCTGAGGCAGGAGGATCACTGTGAGTTCGAGACCAGCCTGGGCTACAGAGTGAGTTCTAGGTCAGTCTCAACTACATAGTGAGATCCTTTCTCAAAAAACCAAAAACAAAACAAAAAGTAAGGAAAGAAAATGCTAGAACAATGAGTTTCAATGGCAAGGGATATTCCCAAGTCATCATTCAGTGGGTCAGAAAGAAATGCATAGATGAGTTAATTACATTTACAAGATTTTTCTGAATTGAAAATAGAGCACATGATCACAATGATTGTTTTTCTTGTACATCTATTTTTAAATAAACTTTATATTTTGGAGCAAATTTTTTTTCAGCTTTAATTGAGTTTATTGGTACATTTTAGGGATACAGTACAGTTACATTCATTGTTGGGATCTTGTACCTCTACATGACAAGTCTTGATTCTCATTTTTTCCCTTTACCCCTGCCCTCCCTTCACCCCTCCTCCCCTCCCCATCTACAAACACTAGAGCAAATTTAACATTATAGAAAAATTAAACAAGAAATAAGGACAATTCTCATAGACACTTTCTCCCACAGTTTTTCCTATTATTAACATCTTACATTCCTGTTGTACTTTTTTATGCGGCTGTGCAGTTAGTTGTTCCAGCATCATTTGCTCAAAGACTGTCCTTTCTCTATGGGATTGCCTTTGATCCTTTGTCTATATTGTATGTGCCTATTTCTGAGCTCTCTATTCTGTTACTTGGTCTATTTTTCTGTTCTTTTGACAATATCACACTGCTTTGATTGCTTTATATTTCAGTAAGATTTGAAGTCCAGTAGTGCTAGGCTTCTGATTTTGTTCTTTTTAAATTTTATGTTATCTACTTTGGGTCTTTTGATTCTTGATATAAATTTTAGAATCAGCCTACTGATATCTAGAAAATATCTCAGGATTTAATCGAATCTATAAATCAAATGAACTGAACTCTTCACAGTAAGGAGCCTTCCTATCGAATAAATGTGAGATATATCTCTTCTTTTATTAGATATTCCTTGGTGTCTTTTATACATTTTGTAGTTTTCCTTAAACAGATCTTGTATGCATTTTGTTCAGTTTGTACTCATTTCTTTCTTTCTCCATTTATTGTGCTTACGTATGGCATTCTGCTTTTTATTTTATTTACTTACTTATTATTGTTTTTTTTGAGGCACAGTCTCACTTTATAGTTTGGGTTGGCCTTGAACTCACTATATAGCCCCAGCTGGCCTTGAACTCATGGCTGTCCTCCTGCCTCAGCCTCCTGTGTGCTGTGATTATAGGATGCACCACTATGCTCAGCAGCATTCTGCTATTAATTTCAAATTCCATTTATTAACTTCTGGTATACAGGAAAGTGATTGACTATTGTATATATTAATTTTGTGCTCAGAAACCTGGTTACTATTGGGGACCAGCCTTGATATGCATAGATTGGTGGGGGCCAGGCTATTGCCTCGGAAACAGAGAAGTATGCAAAAGGAAAACACTAACCACAGGGCTCCTGAAGCAAGACAGTACCTCCTGAGGGTAATATAAAACTCAAGCAACACACCTACTGCAAAAGGAAGTCCACAGACTGAAAGTGAAAGGATGGAATACAATTCTCCATGAGTCAGGTGTCCAGAAAAAAGCAGGGGTAGCAATCTTATTCTCAGATAAAGTAAATTTCAAACCAAAACTCATTAAGAGAGACAAAGAAGGACACTACATCCTTGTAAAGGGAACAATTCAAGAGGAAGAGCTGACAATCATAAACATATATGCACCAAATACGAATGCCCCCAACTATATAAAACAAATATTAAGTAACATGAAAAACCAAATAAGCACTAATACAATTGTAGTGGGGGATTTAAATATCCCACTATCACAAATTGACAGATCTACTAGGCAGAAAATCAACAATGAAATAATAGAACTGAATCAAGCTTTGGAACACATGGACTTAATAGATGTTTATAGAGTATTCTACCCCCAAAAACCAGAATATACATTCTTTTCGGCTGCACATGGATCATTCTCCAAAATAGACCACATACTGGCTCACAAAACAGGTCTAAATAAATGCAAAAAAATTGAAGTCATCCCCTGTATATTATCAGATCATAGTGCAATCAAACTAGACATCAATAGCACAAGAAACTATAGAAACTTCACAAGCACATGGAAACTGAACAACACTCTCCTAAACAATCAATGGATTACAGAGGAAATTAAAGAAGAAATTAGACAGTTTTTACAAATAAATGAGAATGCCAATACAACATACAGGAATCTTTGGGACACAATGAAAGCAGTTCTACGTGGAAAATTCATAACATTGAATGCCCACACTAGGAAAACAGAGCGGGCTCAAATAAACAACTTAACGATGAAACTTAGACTCCTAGAAAAACAAGAGCAAGAAAAACCCAAAGCTCGAACAAGAGAGGAAATTATAAAGATCCGAGCAGAAATCAATGCAATTGAAATTAAGAAAACGATACAAAAAATAAATGAAACAAAGAGCTGGTTTTTTGAAAGAATAAATAAAATTGACAAACCCTTAGCTAATCTTATCAAAAAAAGGAAAGAAAAGGCTCAGATCCATGCAATTAGGAATGAAAAAGGCGAAGTCACAACAGATCCGAAAGAAATCCAGAGGATCATGAACACCTACTTTGAGAACCTGTACTCTAATAAAATGGAAAACACAGAAGAAATGGACAGATTTCTAGATACTTATGAATTACCAAAGTTGAACGAAGAAGATAAAAACATTTTAAACACCCCAATCACAATCAGTGAAATTGAAAATGTAATTAAAAACTTACCAACAAAGAAAAGCCCAGGCCCTGATGGATTCACTGCTGAATTTTACAAGACATTTAGAGAAGAACTACTACCATTACTCTTCAAACTTTTCAATGAAATTGAAAGAGAAGCTATACTTCCAAATTCATTCCTGGAAGCAAGTATCACTCTGATTCCCAAACCAGAGAAAGATACAACCAAAAAGGAGAACTACAGACCAATCTCCTTAATGAATATAGATGCAAAAATCCTTAATAAGATACTAGCAAACAGAATACAGAGGATTATTAAGAAAATCATCCATCATGACCAAGTTGGATTTATTCCAGAGATGCAAGGGTGGTTCAACATACGAAAGTCAGTGAATGTAATACATTATATTAACAAAGTCAAGGACAAAAACCATATGATCCTCTCAATAGATGCAGAAAAAGCATTTGATAAAATTCAACACCCATTCATGATAAAAACCCTGCAAAAAATTGGAATAGATGGTCTATACCTCAATTTAATAAAGGCTATTTATGAAAAACCATCAGCCAACATCATATTGAATGGCCAAAAACTGAAAACCTTCATGTTAAAATCAGGAACAAGACAAGGATGCCCACTATCGCCACTTCTCTTCAATATAGTTCTGGAAACATTAGCCACAGCAATTAGACAAGAGAAAGAAATTAAAGCAATAAAGATAGGAAAGGAAGAAGTTAAACTATCATTATTTGCTGATGATATGATACTCTACATTGAAGATCCAAAAAACTCCACCAAAAAACTTCTAGACTTAATTGACAGATTCAGTAAAGTATCTGGATACAAGGTGAATACCCAAAAATCAATAGCCTTTCTATACACAAATAACAGACAGACAGAAAGAGAAATAAGGGAAAAAATTCCTTTTACAATAGCATCCAAAAAAATGAAGTATCTAGGAATCAATCTAACAAAAGAAACAAAAGATCTCTACACTGAAAACTACAGCACTCTGAAAAAAGAAATCGAAGAGGATATAAAAAAATGGAAAGATATCCCCTGCTCCTGGGTAGGAAGAATCAACATAGTGAAAATGGCCATACTACCGAAACTGCTATATACATTCAATGCAATGCCAATTGAAATTCCAACACTATATTTCACAGAACTAGAAAAAAGAATCCAAAAATTCATTTGGAACCACAAGAGACCTAGAATAGCAAAAGCCATTATAGGCAACAGTCACATGGCACCAGGTGTAACAATTCCCAATTTGAAACTATACTACAAAGCCACTGTGATAAAATCAGCATGGTACTGGCAAAGAAATAGGCCTGAGGATCAATGGAACAGACTGGAAGACACAAAAACAAATGCAGATGTACTCAGCTACCTCATCTTCGACAAAGGAGCTCACCATCCTCAGTGGAGGAAAGATAGCCTCTTTAATAAATGGTGTTGGAAAAACTGGATATCAACCTGTCACAGATTAAAATTAGACCCTTATCTTTCGCCATGCACTAAATTAAAATCCAAATGGATTAAAGATCTAAATATTAAAACAGAAACATTAAACTTGCTGGAAAGTAAGTTAGGCAGAACTCTGGAAGACATTGGTATAGGAAAAGACTTTATGAACAAATCCTCAGTAGCACGGGAACTAGCAGAAAGAATCAACAACTGGGATCTCATCTTACTAAAAAGCTTCTGTACTTCAAAAGAAACCATTAGCAGAACTAAGAGACAATCTACAATGTGGGAAAAAATTTTTACCAGCTGTACCTCAGACAAAGGACTATTATCAAGGATATATAAAGAACTCAAAACAATCAGTCCCCCCAAATATAAAGACCCGATCCAAAAATGGGCATCCGAAATGAACAGACATTTCTCATACAAAGAAGTGAAAGCAGCAAGAAAATATATGAAAAAATGTTCCACATCACTGGTCATTCGAGAGATGCAGATGAAAACAACACTGAGATTCCACCTCACCCCACAAAGAATGGCTGCTATCAAGAAATCACACAATAACAAATGTTGGCGGGGTTGTGGGGAGAAAGGAACCCTCCTCCATTGTTGGTGGGAGTGCAGACTAGTGCAACCACTATGGAAATCAATATGGAGATACCTCAAAGAGCTTGGACTGGAGGTTCCATTTGACCCAGCCATCCCTCTGTTGGGTATCTTTCCAAGAGAACTAAAAGAATCATATCACAGAGAAGTATGTGCACCCATGTTTATAGCGGCACAGTTTGTAATAGCTAAATCTTGGAAACAACCTATTTGCCCATCCGTTGGAAACTGGATAAAGAAGTTGTGGTTTTTCTATAAAATGGAATATTACTCAGCCATAAAGAGCGAGAGAATAGATTCATTCATAGGAAAATGGATACATATTGAAGATATACTCCTAAGTGAAATAAATAAGTCACACATGTGTAAATACCAAATAGTTTCCCTGGTGTGAATATTCTGCAACAATGCATAAGATTCTAATAAGATTACTGACATTTAGAAATGGGAGGAAAGGAGCTAAAGGTGTAGGGAAGGTGTGATACGTAGGGGAAGAACAAAAAGGGAAAAGAAAAAAATGTGAGAGAATGAAAAGATGAAAATAAAGTGTTTGTAGATGGGGAGGGGAGGAGGGGGTGAAGGGAGGGCAGAGGTAAGGGGAAAAAATGAGAATCAAGACTTGCCATGTAAAGGTACATGATCCCAACAGTGAATGTAACTGTACTGTATCCCTTAAATGTACCAATAAACTCAATAAAATTAAAAAAAAAAAAACTCAAGCAACCAGGTATGGAGAAGGACCTTGATTTGTTCCCTTTGAGATGCTAAACTTGCTCCTTACTTTACTATCCAAATCTCACTGCAGTTGCTGTTCTGGGAAAAGTACACGACCTCGTCCCCTGTGCTTCTTGCTGAATATTAAAAGCCCATCCACCCCGGAGTCTGTCCACTCCAGGCAGATTCCTCTCAGAGCCCCCTTTGAAAATTGTCTCTGTCACTTTCTTTTATTCCCTACTGTTTACCCTATAGGTATTTGGTGTCTAAACAACCCCCTATAGTTATAAAGATTTATTCCTTAAGGACATTTTTATCAACTATTTGGGATTTTCTTTCTCCCTCTCCCTCATAAATTTAATTTCATAAAAAATTAGGCTCATATTCATTCTAACAGAAAAACCCTGTTTTTTTTTTAATAAAAAAGTTGTTTTTAATGGTCTGAAGTACATTAATCTATAAGAGACTCAGTTCCAACACAAAAATAATCCTATCAGTTTTTGTTTTGTTTTGTTTTGTACTGGGGATCGAATTCTGGACCTTGTACTTGTGAGGCAAGGGGCAGAACCACTAAGCTAAATCCCCAGGCCCCTATCAGCTTTTTAAAAAAACATGTTTACAACAAAATGTTGGTACCTTAATCAAAAGATCCACAGACTAATTCCACATGTAAAAATAATTTTTACAAAAATCCCAAGATAACATTTTCAGCCATTTTAATTTTTTATATTTATTTATTTTGTATCAGAAATGGAACTCAGAACCTTGTGGTTGCTAAGCAGGTGGCCGAACCACTGAGCTAAATCCCCAGCACACTTTTTTTTTTTTTAATTCTTCACATGCTGAGTTTCTCCTTATACATTTCTTGCAGCCATAGTCACTTAATGTTGGCCAGGCACCATTTTACCCCCTAAAACTTTGCTGGCATCAAAATATGAATTAACAAGCCCGGTGTGGTTGCGCCTGCCTTTAATCCCAGCAATCCGGAGGCTACATAGTGAGTTCCAGGTCAGTCTCAACTACATAGTGAGACCCTGTCTCAAAAAAACAAAACCAAACAAAAAAATTAACCAGTGTTAAGTCCATAAAATATTTACACTGCACAGCATATTAAGCTTTAGACACTTGGAAATTAAACCACATTTAAAAAAGAGGACAAGACCCCCACCAACATGCTTGGGGTCAGTGTTCACTGGTCCCTATCTGGCGGCTGGACACTAGTTCAAAGAAAAGTAGAGGCAGCAGGCAGTTACTTCAGAGGACACTGAATACTGTGATGATCACTCAATTGACTTTATACTGTGTCCTCAAGAGCAACCTTTGAGTGGGTTTTCCGAGAAGATATATATTCATGGAAGAGAATTGCTTACCAACAGCTATGAACATCTTTCCCCCCTTCCAACTATGTATCATTTTAAAATAAATAAATTCAAATATAAATATGTGAACTGGTGTTGCAAACTTGGTTAATGTGAGACAGCATGCCTGGAAATGTGAATAGGCAAAGCTGCAGATGCCCAGCATACAATGCCCATCAGCCTGTAACTCTGGGAAACTGATTTATGCCATCAATCAACCAGGCTACATCTAGTCCTCTCTCTCACAATAGAGACAATAGACAAACCATGAAACAGCATCATACTTTGAAAGGAGGTACTTGATCTGAAAGTGGTATTCAAGACCCTCATTTGCTCTCCAAGAAAATTTATGTAACTATTTCCTAAATCTCATAAAAATATTTTATAGTATTTTAATTGTGTGCATTAGTCTTTGTTTTATGGACAATTTGATAATAATGAAAATGAGTGCTGAAATTTTGGAGCACACAGATATTTTAATCTCACAACTTACTTTTTACTAACTGACTCATCTTATATTTCAAAGGTACCTCAAAAGTAGGCTATAGCTGCGCATGGTGGCACAGGCAAATAATTCCAGCACTCAGGAGAATGAGGTGGGAGGATTGCCATGAGTTTGCCTACGCTCCATAGTGAGCTCAAGGCCAGCCTGAACTATGTAGCAAGACTCTGCCTTTAAAAAAAAAATAGGCTTTAGACATTCTAGTAGGTCTTCCTGGTGATAAGTGAAATGCTTTGGAAAAGCTTATTTTTTTCAACATTGCCTTTTTCTGGCTTTTCAGCAACTTTTTTTGTATTGAAAAATTTTCTTTTTTAGCCATCACACATGCCTAGTAATCCTCAAATATACGAGTTATGAGTAGATAAATTTCACAGACATATGCTTTCTCTAACACATGTCCCAAATGAACACAATGACAACTAGCCTTCTGACATCCTTGGGTCATATGAAATGTATCATGAAACCACTATTTCCTGAAGTGTATAGAAAGGAACACTAGCTTAAGGTAATATTAATAGAGATCAATAACAACAACAGCATTACCAAGCTTTATTTAAGTATAAAAATGAATTCAAAATATAAGAGATAAAATTTAGATGAATGTATTCTCCTGGGATTGGGAAAAGCCTCCAAATTGTAATATAAAAGGCACTGGTATATTTGACTATGTGAAGCTTATAAAGTGCTATATAAAGAAAAGCAAGACAATTGGCAAAAATTACTTGTACATAGAGACACAAAAAGGATTGATATATCAAATAAAGAGTTTTTCAGTATAGGACAGAAACACACACAAAAATAGGACAGAAACAAAACAACTTATTTTAAATGAGCACATATACTTTGAAAATTATGAATTCCTATTGTTCTATAATGAATTTTCATTGTTATTTTTATTTTTAGCAGAAAGCTATACATAGAGATTTAGAGTTCTCAAATCATTTTCACATGAAATACTTTTACCTTTATTATTAATTTGTATTATATAATACATAATAAATAGATTTGTAGATGGCATTATTTGAATAATCTAAAGTTTCAAGAGGTTTAGTGACCTTCTGGGTGTTAAGTGACTATGAGAAATCAGAGACAAGTATTAAATTTAGCTTTCTCCAAATGCAACACCAGTCTCCTGGACTGAAGTACCACTATTTCTTCCAGGGACTCCGAAAATGCCTGCTAATATGCAGCAGCTTTAGTACTTTAAAAACAGAGCAGTTTGTTTCATTTGGAGTGGGGTAAGAAGAAGGGAATGTTTGTTATATCCATTTTTCTACATTGTGTGTAGATGTATGTATGTATGCATGCATGTACATGTATATATACACATATATTTTATTCCTGTCTTATGTTGCATTGCTGAATCCACTCGAGTGTACTGTTTTGAATTCAGATGGGATAATGCTAAATCATTAAAAGATGCATAATAAGGCAATAAATGACTTCCCAGATTGTTACAATTAACCTTCAATTTATAAACTGGTTGATTCTTAAAAACTTCCCATGTAAATCAGCTATTTGGAATCTATTATATTCCCTAGTCAAAAAAAAATATTTTTTATGATTATAGCAAACATCAGTCCTGTCAAAATGTATTGTAGTGATAGATACATGCAGGTTCCATAACCTCTGTTCTTTTCTGCCGAGAGCCCCTCCGCTCTCTGTCCAATCTTACCTCCTTCGAGTTCCAAATAGGATTCTCGCTCTCTTGGCCTACTCTGAGAAACTCACACACATGATGAGTCTAACATTCCATGAGAGTTTTGACGACTACTTATTAAAGGTCACAAACAGATTATAAGAAATTCCCCACTACGGTCTGTTCTTATTTTTAAGCTTAGATTTAAAAAGAAAGAAAGATATCTGCAGAACTTAATAGTCTCTAAAGAAACCAGCTGTTATTTATGATCCCAATGCCTTTTATAATTCAGATCGGTCAACTCACCCCTTGTTATCATGGTCAGAGGATACTCTAGAGTCTGTGAAAGCATTCATAACTCTGCAAAAGAGTAAAAAGCATACACAAAAAATGAAGTAAGATGTTTTGAAAGGCAATCTGTTTTTTTTTTTTTTCTGTATAACTTCAAGACACAAACAGTAAAATCATAAGGAATTATAATGGAACTTAAAAAACAGTTGGCGAGAACAGCATTGTGCCCTCAAAATAACCTTTAGAAAAAGTGTGAGCATGTGCATGTGTGTGCAGAGCCACAGAAAAGAGAAAGAAGGAAGATAAGCATGGCATTCATGATTCCTCTTCTTTTTCCACATTCTGTGTACCATTTAGCCCCCAGTTACTGTAATCTGCACACACGGTGTGAGGTTTTACTCTGCAAATGATGCCTTCCACGAGGCAAGCCAGCTTTGGAGAAGAAATCTATTGCAGCGCCTGCCCTATTGGGAGTGCTATAATCAGAAGTCATTCGGGGAAGAGGTTTATTCTTTAGGACTCATTACTCCCAGAATCAGAAGTCACAAGACATCTACACTTCAGAGTTTCTGGGGTCACCCTACCACAGTGACTGGTTGGGAGATAAGTAGAAGGCACAGAGGGGGATGACTAACCATAGAGGCCCTGCGAAGTAAGGTCCATTGAATTCAGATCACAAAGGACATAGTGGTCCTCCCCTCTGTGGTGAGAAGCCAAGCCCGTCATTGTGGTTTTCTGATGGGGCAAATCTGAAAGAGCTGGCATTAAGTCAAATGGACTGCTTCACCCTCCGCTGCCTACTTCCAGCACAGAGCTCAGTAGTCTAATTGCCTTTCCCTGTGTGCCAATGTGATCAGGGATATCACTTGGCTTAAGATAGTTGCCTCATCCCAGAATGTAGGGAGAGCAGGGCCTCTGAAGCAAGGAAGACCCTTCACAAGCCTATAGACCATAAAGCTAGGTGAACATAGCAGGGACTTAGGAAAACAGAGGGACACAAATATCAACAGTGCTGGAGCAAGTATAGCCCTAAGTCAGACAACGTAACACCCAGCCCAGTGGGAAAAGAGGGCAGGACTCAGCTTTTAGATACAAAAAAGGAGGGGTGGAAACAAAACAAGTCCTAGGTGTGACTCACTAAACACATAGCTGGTAGATTCCAATACTATAGGCCCTGGAAAGAAATTACTCACTCAAAAACACAGAGGAATTTTTTGACTCCTTTTTCTTATCTATCTATCTATCTATCTATCTATCTATCTATCTATCTATTGATCTATCTTCAAACATCAGCACAAAAAAAATAGAGATATGAAAAAGCAAGACAACAAGATGCTTCCAAAAACCCTTATCTTACCAAAAGCTGGTCTTATGGATACTGCAGAAGAGGAAGGTACAGAAAAGCCAAATGGTCAAAATGTTTGAAGAGATCAAGGAGGAATCAAACAAGCAAATTCATCAGATGTTCAGGAAGCTTCAAGGGGATTTTACTAAACAGATAAAGGATCTTACTAATAAAATGTTTAATAAAGTTAAAGCAAAACTGAACTGAGTTAAATAAGATAATACAAAATATAAATAAGTTTTGAATTAAAAATTAGAAAATATGAAAAGAGAGTAACCAGAAATAAAGGATATGGAAAAAGTATAGATAGCTGATTTGACCAATAGGAGGACAGAGTGGCTATAGTAGAAACTGAAAACTACAGAACACCATGCAAGCTAAATCCAGCAGCTATTAGATGATTCACAAAAAGAATTCTAAAACTAAAGGAAAAATTAGAAGATAACTAAAACAAATACAAAACATATTAGCTGAAACAACAGTAAAAAAAAAAAAACTTTCCCAATCTAGGGAAAGAATTACATATAAAGTTATAATAGGTATATAGAACCTCAAGTAGCTATGACCATGAAACATCATAATTAAAATCCCAGAAATTCAACAAAAGGAGACTACAAAGAGCTGTTAGAGAAAAGCAGCAAGTTACTTATAAAGGCAAGCCTATCAGAATGACATGAATTTCTCAAGACAAACCTTAAAAGCTAGCAGAACTTGGAACAAAAATTTTCAAATCCTGAAACTCAGTTGACAGCCTAGATGTGCATAGTGTGGAAAATTAGCCTTCAAAATCAATGAAGAGCCAGGCAAGCCAGTTCACACCTGTAATACCAGCATTTGGGAGGCCGAGGCAAGTGGATCACCATGAGCTTGAGGCCAGCCTGGTCTCCATAGTGAGTTCAAGAATAATCTGGACTATATAGCAAGGCCCTATCTCAAAAACGAAATCAATAAAGAAATAGCGATTTTCCATGAAAAACCCTTAAAATATACATGCCCATACACCAGTATTGCAGAAAACACTCAAGGGAATCCTAGACAGAGAAAGGGAGGCCACCAGCATCAATGAGCCCAGAGAAAAATACACATCTAACTTGGAGAATGATTAGATAAAAGGGGAAAATAAAAGTAATCAGCCCTGGAAAAATAATGCAAAGACAGCAATAAGTAAATAATTTACAATAATACAATAATAGCTCTCAATGTCAACGGCTTTAACTCTCCTTTGGAGGCACAGACTGGCAGCCACTGGGTCAGAAAAGAAAATGAAATGATTTCTAGAATCAAATGAGAATGAATGCATAACATGCCAAAGCTTATAGGACACAGTGAAAGTATTTCTAAGAGGGAAATTTATGTCTTTGAATTCACATATTAAGAATTAAGAAATCACCAAAAAAAACAAAAAAACCAAAATTAAGAGAAAGAGATATAAAGATCACAGTGCAAATTAATAAAATTGAAACTAAGCATATACGAAGAATCAATGAATCAAGGAGTTGCTTCTTTGTATTGGTAAATCCCTAGCCAAAAATAACCCAAAAAGGGGGAAGAAAAAAACTGCATCAATTCAAATAGAAATTAAAAAGGAGAAGTCACAACCAGCACCATCAAAATACAGAGATTATAGGAAACAGTTTTGAAAGATTGTATTCCAATTAATTTGAGAAACTAGAATGGAGAAACTCCCAGATACATACACATAAATTACCAAAATGGAACCAAAAAGTCATTAAAAACTCTAAATAGTCCAATAGCAGGCAACAAAATACAGGCAATAATAAAAATTCTACAAACAAAGAAAAAAGTCCAGGACCCAATGGATTCACCACAGAATTCTATCAGAACTTCAGGGAAGGCTTAATGGAGCTATTCAAACTCTTCAATGAAATCAAAAGTGAAGGAGTACTACCAAATTCATTCCTGGGAGCTAGAATTACCTTGATTCCAAAACCAAAAAAGAATTTAACAACAACAAAAAAACAAAACAAAAAAAAGTACAGGCCAATCTTCTTAATGAACATAGATGCAAATTTTTTCAACTGAACACTGTGAAATAGATTGTAACAAATCACTTCTAAAATCATATATCATGATGAAGTTGACTTCATTCTAGGGATGCAAGAATGGTTCAACATATTTAATCAATAAATGAAATGTGTCACTGACACAGAAGCAATAAAATTACAAATCACCTCGATAGACAAAGAAAAGGTCATTGACAAAATCTAACATCTGTTCATGATAAAAAAAATCATTTGGTGAAAATAGGTATAGAAAAATCTTACCTCAACCTTACAAAAGCCACTTATGACACATCCACTGCCATCATCACACTAAATGGGGAAAAACTGAAAGCATTTCCTCTAATATCAGAAACAAGACAAAGGCATCCACTCTCACCACTCCTGTTCAGTATAGAAAAGTAATAGCCAGAGCAATCAAGCAAGGGAAAGAAGTAAAACAGAGACGTAAAGGAAAGGGAACGTCAAATTATCTTTATTAACAAATAGCACAATCCCTACAGAAGACCAAACAATTCCAAAAACAGACAGAACTAACAAACAAATTCAGTAGGGTAGCAGAATACAAAATCAAGACAAATAGACTGAAAGTGAAAGGATGAAATCACAAGCATTGGTGTATACCAAAAGTGAACTCAGAGAAAAGTTTGGAAAATGATCCCATTCACAATAGCATCAAAAATTAAATACTTAGGAATTAACCTAACCAAGAAAATAAAAGACTTCTATAACAAAAACTATAGTACTCTGGAAAAAAAATTGAAGAAGACATCAGAAAATGAAAAGTCACACTTTGTTCCTGGATAGGCAGAACCAATGTTGTCAAAGGGGCCATACTTACAAAACTGATATATAGATTTAATGCAATTCCAATCAAAATGCCAACAGCATTTCTCACTGAACTAGAAAAAAACATAGAATTCATTTGAAACCAAAAGAGACACAGCATAGCAAAAGCAATCTTGGAGATTTTGTAGAAGAGCAAAGTAGAAGGAATCATAATCCCAAACTTCAAATAATGTTACAAAGCAAAAGTGATAAGAAATAGCATGATGCTAGCACATGAAAAGATATTATGGATCAATGGGACAGAATAGAAGATAATGAAACAACCCCAGGAACCATCAGTCACCTGATCTTTGATAAAGTGGCCAAAAATAGATGCTTGAGAAAGAATAGGTTTCTTAAAAATTGGTGCTTGGATAGTCTGCAATACACATGCAGAAAAACTAATCTAGACATATATCTCTCACATCGTATGAAAGTAAAATAGAAATAGATGACAAATCTAAATATTAAAACAGAAACAATTTTCAGGAAGATAAAATAGATAAAACTCTTGAAGATGCAGTCATAGGCAAGGCCTTTCTGAACAGAGCCCCAGTTGCACAAGAAATGGTACCAAGAATCAACAAAAATATATGATATCATATTAAAAGTCTTCTGCACAGAAAAGGAAACAATCTACAGAGTGAAGATAAAACCTACAGAATGGGGAAAATGTTTGCCACCTGTTTCTCTGACAGAAAGCAAATACAAAGAATGTGTAAGAACTAAAAACAAAATTGGACTTCCCAAAATAAAAAACCAAATAAAATATAGGCAACTGAAATAAAATGACACATCACAAAAGAAGAAGTCAAAATGACCAATAAGTACATGAAAAAAATTACCAGCATCTTTAGCCATTGGAGAAATACAAACCAAAACAACACTGGGATTGCATCTGACTCCAGAAAAAAATAGCTATCATGAAGCTCTCAAAAAATGAATTGTGGGTGAGATTGTGGGGAAAAAAGGAGCCCTTTTATTTGTTGGTGGGAATAAGAAAACAGTAAAACCATTATGGAAATCGGTATGGAAAGTCTTCAAAAAGCTAAAAATGCAAATTTTCTTCAAGCTAGCTATACATTTTCTGGGCATTTCCTCAAAAGATACATCATATTTGTTATGCATACATACCCAGAACAGTTAAATTTTGGAAATAGCTTATACAATCATCAACATATAAATAGATAAAGAAAATATGGTACAATGGAGTATTACTGACAAAAAGAAATATAAATTTGAGTCCAGGAATGTGGCACATGCCTGTAATCCCAGCACTTGGGAGGCTGAGGCAAGGAAAAATCACTGTGAGTTCAAGGCCACCCTAAACTACATAGTCAGTTCAAGGTAGTTTTTTTGTTTTTTTTTGGTACCGGAGATTGAACTCGGGTCCTTGCGCTTGCGAGGCAGGCCACTGAACCGTTGAGCTAAATCCCCAGCCCTAGTCTGAACTACATTGTGATACCCTGCCTCAAAAAAAGAAAAGAGCCAAGACCTGTCATGTGAAGGTACAGGATCCCAGTAATGAATGTAACTGTATTGTAGACCTAGATTGTACCAATAAACTCAATAAAAAGTAA